AAAATAATTGTAGAAACGAAACAGAAAAAAAAACCGAAGCCATCAACGATTAAATACAAAAATCAGACATTGCCAGCCACCCATAGATTTCACTTTTTTATGGCTTACTTTTGTTTCTTGGCGATTCGGGCCGTAAAACAATTCAATGCCAACTTCAAATGAGTTTATGGCAAGCACACAAAGCCAAGACACATGAGAGAGATATCGTTTGGCCAGCCAGAAAGCAGCGAGTAGAAATACCAGAAACCAGGCTGAGGAACTACTCAGTTTTTGCTTTTAGCAGATAGAAGAACATCACAAATGCCTTTGTTTCAGCACTGCTGGGAAGACCCAGCCATCGCAATCTGACTACGAATGCGAATCTGAGCCATGTGCTCAATAATGCTGATCAACCGGCAGACACTCACAAATACGATTCAGTCCGCACCCACTATTTGTGCTTTATACTATTGTACATGGTTACGTATACATTTATGCATTCATCGTCAAACATTTATAATCAAGTATCCAAAGGCAAGCGAAAAAAAAAAATATAAAAGTGTTTGCTTTATCGTCTGTACAATACTTCCTATATGTGTGGTGTACGAGTTTTGATGGGAATATACATATTGTATATTGTATTTATGCAAGCGAATTAAATATGGAAGAATGATGTAACGCTATTGGTTTTGGGACCACAGATCCAGTGGCCGCCACATCAGAGATAATCAATTACAGTCGCCTGTGGCGCGTGCCGCCTTCTTTCAGAGTTTTTAGTGGCCCCCAGTTGCCAGTTGGCAGTTCCATTGACTGCGGATCCGATCGCGTTTTTTGGGATCTGGGTTTCGGGGCAGTCGCCTCGTTCCCAGCCTCCATTGTCTCGGTTTCTCCTCGCCTTTGTCTGCCTTCAGCACGTCGTCGGTTTCGTTTTTATGAAAATTTATATGCACAGACGGAGAGAAAACAATTACATTCACTGCATACTCTTTCGAAAGGTATTACACTTGTATGGAAATCGTCTCATTAATCTGTGCCACTTATAAGCAAGCTTCTAAGTATTTTAATGTGTAAAGTGTAAATAACGAACAGGGTTGGCGCACCACCATCTCTAGTTTTGGGAATTATTGTAAGCTGAGAGAATTTCCTGGTGCAGTAAAACCTTCGCGTTTAAATCGCCTCAATTACTCATTCAGTGTTTGCTAGTTTCTCGTTGCTGCAATAGAATGCAGCGGACAGGGTTGACACACCACAAAGCAAAGCAATCTCGGATTATGCAACTCGATATGGCAATGCCTTGCGACACATCTGGCAACGCTATCGCCGTGCTGTTTCTGTTTATTTTTGAATCGCAACAAAAGCGACCTCGGCCCAAGAATCTCACTTTGCAGGAGAAAGAAAGTTGACACAATCACAAAGACAAGAAGAGACGAGACGAGAAGGAAAAAGAAAAGAAAGAGAAGACCAGGAAGCAGCGGCGGAAAAATTGTGTGCAGTCAATGAATGAAAAAGAAGAGCAGTGATGTTGATGCCAGACGAAAGAGTTGCAAACACACACACACACACACACTCATACACCCATGTGCAAGTATGAAAGAAAAGCAGAAACTTAAGACGACTGTGTGGATTTTCCGTTTCGTTTGCGAGCCATTTTCCACCACCAAGAAAATAAGGAAAACGTACCGTTACTTATGAGCTGCATGCGAGGTGGGCGACGATAGGGGGAGTGGGGTTGGGGGGAAGAAGTGTGTTAATTAACAAAGCAAAGTAGAGAGCAACTAACTACAATCCGGAAAGTAAACCGAAGAAAACCGTATTTCCATTTCGCTTTGATCACTTTTGCAAAGCCAATTGGAATTTCCGAATGCATTTAGAGCGTAATAAATCATGCAGCCAAGTCTTAACAGTAGTAACGAAGTTTTCAATTATTTATGGCCAAAGAGTTATTTGAAAACTGAGGAACCAAAAATAAAAAAAAATTATGGGATTTTGCCTTTTTCTTCCAACAAGATCAGGGGTTACGAAATGTATTTTCCATTTAAGTTTTTATTTCAAGGTGTTCATAAAAGTTGGTCATAATAGAAACTTCTTCTTGGTATTTGCTTGACAATATGTTTATATTTTTATGATTGCCATAAAAATCTTAAAGCCGCAAAAACTTGACTTTCCAGCAGTTACGCTTTTGTTATTGGAAAACAAAAGCAAATCGTGCTTCAAATTGCGATTTAAACGATACTTTCCCAGCCCGTTAATCGATAAACACCAAGCCCCTTCGATCACCTGCCATTAAACGTGCTGCGCAGGCAATTCCCACCCACCCACTCCACTCGGCGCAATCTTATCTAATCAAAGTGCCAGCTAAAGATACAGTACTATACAATACCTTCCCGGCTATTGAGCACTCGAAAACATAAACATCCGACGCCCTTCTGACCACAGCCCAGACCAGATCAGATCAGACCAGACCAGACATCTGTTTTCCATTTGATTCGATGCCGAGAGTGGAGGAGCCCCCAACACCCAACACCCGACAAAAGTCTCGACACTGACCTCCAGCACTCCAGGTAACCGAGGTCGCACAAATACACACCGCACAGCCATAGCCATATGTATGCCATATAGGGTGTTTGCCTTTGATTTAATGGATTTGCGTGTAAATTGCTTCTAATTTCATTTTTCCTACTCTTGAGCACCGCGCACAAATAGAAATCTGGCGACGGCAATCAAAATGTCAAACGGATTGACTGATTGACGAGCGATCGGAAGGAAAACTGGATGAGGGGCATGAAACTGGCTCCATCGGCGATTTATTTTTGGAGCCTAGGGTCGAGCGGTTCGCATTTACCGTGTACACATATTCCAGACACCCGAAATTGGGGGGCTCTTTAAATAGAAACAGACGAACTTGTGTGCAAGGGACAATTCCTTTCCTGAGCAACATGAGTTCACTCACGAAAAGTTCAATAAACACTTAATATTATAACATTTTCGGATACTTGGCAGAACTGAAAGATACCCATACCTACATATTTGAAATGTGTTAAATGATCGGGGTATTTGTCAACTAAAGCAGCTTAATCCAGTTTGTGAATTTCATAAGATATTTATGGGGTTTAATCATATCCTCGAATAGGATCTGAAAGATCCGCCTTAGCTAGTTTCCATTGCAAGTTGGAGGGTTATAAATAGACGTTCGCTGGAGCTTTGACATTGTTTTCTTGAGTGATTTTCCACAGCGAGATAGCGAGGGATTTCCCCGCTGCGAGCGGAACAGAATAGATCCCAAATTACCAGGCGCAGATACATAAATTAGTTGGCTTTGGCTTTAGCTGCTTTGGCTTGTAATTTGCAACACGAACGGACTGGCGCCATATTTGTTTTTGTTGTTACTTTGGGCATGTGCATGTGCATGTGGGTGTGCATGTGTTGGTGAGTGTTTCCAATTTGAATTGAGAGTGCAGCTTGCACACACGTATTGTGCAAAAATAAAAACAAAAACAAAAACACGCCGAGATGCAGTTGCTGCAACGTCAGCGAATTCGAATTAATCATCGGAAACGAAATGCGGTTAAAACCCAGCTGGCTAACAGGGTGCGAGCGAGAGGGCGCTAGTTTATAATGAGCCAGGGCCAAAGGCTGACGTCACAACGGCACAGTTAACACACACAGCCACATTTGACACCATTTGTTGCTCTCTCTCGCGCTCTGTTCACTATTAATTAATTGCGCTGCGCTCTCTCTTGTTTTTATTGTTTTTCCAGTGATAAGAAGGCACTACTAATCGGGTTATCGTTCATAATTTATGTGAAAATAAGGGCAGAAAACAAAAACTGTACCTTGGGTTTGTTTAGCCAACGTTTAAACGTGTCCATCGCAGGAGGCTTTTTCTTTCCAGCTGCAGCTCCACAGTTGTTGCTTTTGCTTCGCCTCCCTCGCTGCTCCTCGTCTTCTCCTCTTCCGCTGCTCTTTCTTGTTGTCCTTGCTCTCGCTCAAACACACACACAATCACTCACACTGTACACCAACACTAGCGCGTGCGAGCCAAACAAAACAAAGAAAAAATGCAATTTGTTTGGCAACTGCTAAATGCACATTACTGATTTTAACACTTATTGTGAATTTTGTTTAAATGCCTCGGCCTCTTCGCACTTTGCCTTTCTGCCTTTTGTTGTTCTCCTCTCGCTTATTTCCCTTTTCTTTCTTTTTTATTTTTCGCTTTTTGCTTTTTCACTTTTCGTGCTCCTCACACGCGTGACTCTACGGTCTCAGTAAGTGGAGCTGCATTTCCCTCGCGGAAACTGCGTCGGTTGTCCTGTGGCGGCCTGCAGAGGCAGTGCGTCAAAGCGGAGGCTGACCACTCGAATGTCGGGCGACTCGGATTGCAAACTTTTCCATTAAACTCGCGCAGCACTCATCCGCCCTTCGCGTTGCGATGCGATTTCCGTCGACAGCGGAGCGTCCGTGCGTTCGCAGCAAAGTTTTTTTTCGATTAATGTGACCAGTCGGAGTCTGGGACTAGTAAGTGCCAGCAGTGGGGTGTTCTTCGGTTACGCGGAAAATACTGCGGGCGTGACAAAAATATTCCACACCGTTCACACTGGCAACGTGATACTGCTGTGTGTTTTTGACTTACAATTCTAGTCATAAGCTTATACCTAATTATATACTTAGGCCCAACAGTTTGTAAATTGATTAACTTTTAACAATTTAGCATCTGCTTGTAACCTTTCGTGCAGTGCTACAACCTGCTTAATAGCGAAAACTTTTGGAGTTATTTAGTAAGTAAGAAAGTGCTACCTCTATTGGTAAGTACTGCATGATATAATTTTACTACCATTTGGAATAAGGAGAAGCATTAAAACTAAATGCTTCCAATTCGCACAACATTTGAAGGTGAACTAAACTTTAGGCTTGCAGATTCGCTTCCTCGCTGTTTGTCCGTTAAAAGGGTCGAGTCCGCACTAGCCGCTAGCGGAGCTCCGCACCCGGCACTCGCTTAGCACATCGGCCATTTTCTAGGCCCATTTAACTTTCGCTGGCGTTTTCGCATGGCCTGGTCACTAGTGTCGTTTTTGTAAGTTGCTGGGGAGGGTTAAAACTCGCGCGCAGAGCTATAATTTTATTCCTGGAAAATCGTCGTTGGCGCTGACCGCGTCACACAGCAACGTTAACGTACGCAACCGAAAGTATTAGCCCTTTGTAGCCGGACAACTGTCAAACGGATTTGCCTGACACAGGAGCAGAAATATTAGCAGCCAACGGAAAGCAATTATACGAAATAAAAATGTTCTCACGACCCAGGTAAGCTATATTTTCGAGTTTTTTGCAAGGACTCGCCTCCAAGGATTTGTTAGTGTGCGTGTGTGAGGGCGCGAATTATGTAAGATTTCGCGATGCGGGAGGAGCAACTGCCCCAGCTGGTAGCCCAGTGACCTAGTCACTCGGATCAGACGAGCAGCCGCCAAGGCGTCCGTACATATGTACCTGCATATATACACTATGTTCACATAGTATAGCATCCCATTCCTCTTTCTCTGCGCTTCCTCCCTTTTGCGCAGCTTTCGTTTTCACTGGGAAAACGCTGTGTGCGTGTGTGTGTGCGTGAGCGAGAAGGATTCCGATTGGGAATCGCACATGGCCTGGCATTGACCCTTAGTTTTCCCTCCCTTTCCCGCCTCTTGCTGCCCCGTTCGGCGAACAGCTGTTTTCAGAATTTTCACTTTTCCCTTGCAATTGCATAAGCGTTTTCGAACTTGCATGCCTCCGTTTTTTGGCTGCCAAACAAGAAACAGCTGAAAAAATCAATGGGCTGCAGAGAGAGAAACGGGGTAGAACCTACATAAAATAGGTACATATGTACATATATGTATGTGCTTTATTTTCGTTTTTTCACTTGAAGAATAGGCATCACATATTTTGTATGAATTTCCTATGATTCACAATTGGATAAGAAGTACAAATACATACAAAATTCTGTTATTGTTTCGCAGTTTCCTACGAAAAAAAGCTTATGGAAATTTTCGGAGTACTTTTTCATTTTCAAACAATTTAATTGCTGTGTAGCGAAAACGCAACACCTTCAATATCATGGACATGGACATACATATTCGAAAGATGGTCTGGCGGAATTCTATATTTAGTGCATATACCCAAAAAAATGTGTGTTTTGTTTCGCCATTGTCAGCGTTTTTCGTTGCCAAGTTCATCAAAAATGATTTCAGCTTGCCTCTCGCTCCCACACCAACCGTTAGCCAGAAATTCGGCTAGCAAAAATAAAAGCGTAGAGTTTAATGAACTTGGCTAGTTTTTTGTTGCCTTCGGACTCCAGTTTGTATTCTAGGTATATTCTTTGGCCTTTCGGCCACTACAAATAATTTTTGGTAGTCTCGCGCGTACTTTTGATGATAAAAAAGGGTATCACTGGAAATCGTTTATGACACGCACTTATTCCGTGTATTTGGCTCAGATATGCGAAATTGTTTAGCACTTGACGTGCTGGGGCTCATGTGAGTACCATTCAAACAAATGGAAAAAATTGACGAATGACAGCATTACCTAAACGATAATTATCGGCCCAAAGTGCTCGCCTTTTGTCGGCGCAAGGGATCTCGGGGTTTCCAGCCCGGCGCACGTCACTAACCGGTTCCAACTTGACCAAAATCCAGCCCCGATACCGATACCGACCCACTGCCATTACCATTCCCATTCCCATTCCCCCCAAACATGATTCCATCAATGAACCGCAAATATTAGTCACACGCCCATGTCCCGTCATTTGCCTCTCTCGCAATTAGCACCATCTAGTGGAACTAGAGGCTAGCAAAAACATAACAGCAGGGGTCAAAATCGTAAGATCTGCTAGCGAGTAATATATGATCTTCCTTAGGTACTTCAAACAGCAACAGTGTTTCATAACCAGAACCTGTTTTTAATTAATTGATGTAGTGAGCGCAGGTCCATAATTTATTTTTCTGAGCCCTTCACTTTGAGTACTTTGAGTAGTAAGTCTTGCAATCTTATCTTGGGTCATTACGCTTCAAAAACAGAAAAACATTTTCAAGTTCAATGATCCAATTGATTTGTAATTTATTAAATTGATACGCCCACAAGGAAGTACCCAGAAAATTAGCTACTTTAGTTTTCCGCGATGAAAATAAATAATAATGTGCTTCAGTCTATGCGGTAGAAGTGAACTTAACTTGGACTTTTTGAATAGTTATTTCCCAAATAAAAGGATGTAGAAATCTCTATATATTATACATCTATATTTTTTTTCTACTTAATAATAAGCTGGATTATATGCTAGATTTATGACCGCGGCTGTGCATAGATTTTTATCGTGATGTTGCCAGGCCATCCATCCCCCCTTATCGCTGGCGCTTTGGGTTCCAGGGGACAGCTGTAAACAATGCGGCTTAGTTTCATTCTATTCTGCTTTTCATTTTATATTTTGGCGTGCCCAGCGCGCGGTGATAAACAAAAAGCAGCTGACGTCGACCTTGGACATGGCTTTTTTATTCCATAAATATGTGTGTTTCTGTGGGTGGACTGGGGGGCTCCACGATGGCAATGTCAAGAATGTCAGCGGGCCCACCTCAAAGTCAAGGGCTCCCAGGGGGTTCTCCAATTGCCCCGCTGATAAATGATTCACGTAATGCACTTTTGCAATTCGCAGCTTATGTGGAACGGTGGGCAAATTGTGCCGATGCGGCACATCAGCAACAGGAAAGACTGCGGTGGCAGCAGCAACAGTTCCCACAGCTCGACACTATCATGAGGTGGTGGGCGATATCATCTGCCCGTCTCAGGTGCGCGGCATAGATCACATCCGTGATCCACGACTCAACAAGGTGAGCAGCACTAAATCAATTGTATAAGTTAAGTTTTGTATAAACAAATCTCTCGCTTTCTCTTTCCAGGGCCTGGCCTTCACCCTGGAGGAGCGCCAGACTCTGGGCATCCATGGACTGCAGCCAGCGCGTTTCAAGACGCAAGAGGAGCAGCTGCAGCTCTGCAAGATCGCCGTGAACCGCTACACGGAGCCGCTGAACAAGTACCTCTACTTGAGCGATCTGTACGATCGCAACGAGCGTCTGTTCTTCCGCTTCCTGTCGGAGAACATCGAGGATCTGATGCCCATTGTGTACACGCCCACAGTGGGCTTGGCGTGCCAGCGATTTGGCCTGATCTACAGACGTCCTCATGGTCTGTTCATCACGTACAACGATCGCGGACACATCTTTGATGTGATGAAGAATTGGCCGGAGCCGAATGTGCGTGCCATCTGTGTGACGGATGGTGAGCGCATCCTGGGACTGGGAGATTTGGGCGCCTGCGGCATGGGCATTCCCGTGGGCAAGCTGGCCTTGTACACGGCTCTGGCCGGAATCAAGCCCCATCAGTGCCTGCCAATTGTGGTGGATGTGGGCACCAACAACATCGATCTGCTGGAGGATCCCCTGTACGTGGGTCTGCGTCAGAAGCGAGTGGTTGGTCGCGAGTACGACGACTTCATTGATGAGTTTATGGAGGCCGTGGTGCAGCGTTATGGCCAGAATACTCTGATCCAGTTCGAGGACTTTGGCAACCACAATGCATTTAGGTTCCTGGACAAGTACCGCAACACCTACTGCACCTTCAACGATGATATCCAGGGAACCGCTTCCGTGGCCGTAGCTGGACTGTATGCCTCCAAGCGCATAACAGGCAAGTCCTTCAAGGACTACACCTTCCTGTTCGCAGGAGCCGGTGAGGCCGCCATCGGCATTGCCGATCTCACCGTCAAGGCCATGGTGCAAGATGGTGTGCCCATCGAGGAGGCCTACAACAGGATCTACATGGTCGATATCGACGGTCTGTTGACCAAGAGCCGCAAGGAGGGCAACCTGGATGGCCACAAAATCAACTACGCCAAGGACATCAACCCGATGTCAGATCTCGCCGAGATTGTCTCCACCATCAAGCCCAGTGTATGTCATAAGAAGTGCTATTTCTAAAGATCCTTTGGTTATATCAAACTAATCAACAGGTGCTTATTGGAGCCTCGGCTGCTGCCGGCATTTTCACACCGGAGATCCTGCGCACCATGGCCGATAACAACGAGAGGCCCGTGGTGTTCGCCTTGTCCAATCCCACCAGCAAGGCAGAATGCACTGCCGAAGATGCTTACAAGCACACGGATGTGAGTTTTTAAAATAGAAAAATGTATTGATAAATTATTTTTAACGAGATGATTTAAATGCACAGGCTCGCGTGATCTTCTCGTCGGGCTCTCCCTTCCCGCCGGTCCAGATCGGTGACAAGACCTTCTACCCGGGCCAGGGCAACAACGCCTACATCTTCCCTGGTGTCGGCTTGGGCGTGATCTGCACGGGCACTCACCACATACCCGACGAAATGTTCCTGATCGCCGCCCAGGAGTTGGCCAACTTCGTCGAGCCCAGCGACATTGAGCGCGGATCGCTGTATCCTCCGCTGTCGAGCATCCGCAGCGTGTCCATGAACATTGCCGTTGGCGTGACCAAATGTGCCTACGATAGAGGTACGATACCGATCCCTCATGGGAAACAAATGAAATGACTTCCTTGGTATATTTTGCAGGCTTGGCATCCACCTACCCTGAGCCACAGGACAAGCGCAAGTGGCTGGAGAACCAACTGTACAACTTTAACTACGAGAGCTCGATGCCCGCTTCGTGGGTTTGGCCGCGGATGCCCTACATTAAGACTCGTGATTTAGTGCCCACAGAACTCTATGGAAAACAAAGTGAAAATTAATTTTTTTCTTATTTTATTCTAGGCGAAGAAAGCCCGCTCATTGCCGCCATCAAATAAAATAGCATTAATGCGTTCAACTGGTTGATGGCACCGTTCTGTTTTGCATCTAACACACTCTACTACTTCCAAGCGTACACCATCAGCACCAAGCAACAAAACAACCAACTGACTACTAACTACCCTAGACTAGATAAATTTCCAGTGCTCTTTTTTAATGTTTGTCGATCGATCCGTTGACAGCGACACTCGAACTCAGCCGCAACTAAAAACTATTTAAATGTTGTTAATATAATTAGACCATTTAACAAACTGCTGAGTCAACGGATCGGTTCTTAAATGTATTTTCAAATTGTTTATAGTATTATGTATGTATGCGATTGTTTTATATCTGTAAAAATGATCATGTTATTAATTTTGTGATACCAAAACGAACGATACCAAACGACAACAATGACGACTGTGACGGTGACTACGCCTCCGAAAAAGCAATTACGCAGTATTCTATCCTATCACTTTACTATCTGTATTTAATCTGTGCTATGTTTATGGTTTGCTGTAACTTAAATACCCGATTGGCTTCGCAACTCCATTCCTCGCCGCTTGTCATAACTATCCTGCATTCTCAGTGTGCCCCAGCTTTCGATATGATCTGCTCTGTCTACTACTACTAACTCTGACGGCGGCATCAAGCGAGCTCTGAAGCTATCAAAATCTTATATATCAAAATCACGCTTAATCACCCACCCTAAATTCGACAATTGATTGATTTATCTATTGCTATATGCTCCTTTCGTTCCCACACAGAGAGCGAGAGCGAGGAAGTAATGTAAATTATCGTACCCCCTACAAACCGACCGCCTAGAACAATTGGCTAGACAGCAGAGCTAACTGCTTCGAGAACTGGTGAGAACAACCCAAACAACCAAACAACCAATCAACCATCCAACCGATTCCACATGTAAAACAACTTAATTCGCTGCCGTTAACCTCCAACTATCTAAGTTAGAACATTATGCTTTCTATCGATTAGTTCCCTTATATCTGTAGATATATTCGAGCGATAATTATGTTTGTTTGAGCCATGTCTGATATTTATTAACGCAATTAAGCAGCTTTGTTATAATTTATTGTTAAAAGGTCAAGCTAATGTATCAATAACTACATACCCTACCCCTTATGATCGATCGGACCGATTCAGCCATTGTACCACTGACTAGATGATGATGATGTGCGATAAACAATAAAACGAAAACAAATTAAACACTCGCGATTCATCTTAATGGGATCCTTACGCCAAGTACTTGCTGTAGATCTCTTGGGATCTGGAAGCCCCTTTGTTTTCAGAGCTTTTGAGAGAGATTCCGATTTCTGTGCGCAAGAGAACGAGAGGCATTTGATTATCTTGTTTTTTTTCTTTTATTTGCGTCAGGAAGAATGACAAAATGTTTGAAAATATTTGGATTTTCCCATAAATTGTTAATTGTATTCCGGATCACTGGAAGCCAGAGATGTTGCTACAGTCTCAAAAATCGAGAGATTAAAGCTCTGATTTAAACTCGATTTGGTTCTCTCATCTGCTGCTGGCGGTATAAAACGCAACTTCTCAGCTTGTTATCTCCCAGTCGAGCTTGAAGCGTCTGTTTGCCCAGAAACCCACGTCACACTACAGGTTCCGATCAGTCCAGATCAGCGTTTCCAGCGAGATGATGATAGCCAGCAGCCTCGCAGTCTTATATGGCATTGCCGTCTTCTCGTCGATGGGCGTGCAATCTGCCCGAGCAGGTTAGGGGAATTCTCGGAATCCGCGTCGCATGGGATGCTAATGCTAATATTGGTGTACATTACATGGCTCAGACTACGCCGACGACTGCACCACACCGGATGGCGACCAGGGTCAGTGCATGCCCTTCTCCTCCTGCCGCAGCATCGAGGAGCGGCTGACGGAAGCCCAGAAATCCGGACAGAAAGTGCCAGCCGACTACGCCAGTTATCTGCAGAGGGCTTCCTGCGGCGAGTTCAATGGAGTGGTGAGTTCGAAATGATGGACTTAAAACTCATTACGATAGAGCAGCTAAGTTTAATGTGGCATTATCAAAGCAATGGTGACCATCATCATCTTTCGTTTGTATAATGGATTCGCAAACGCACTGATTAAAATAAAAACAAATTCAATGGCGTATAGCAATTATGTTACTCAGTCAAAATCATTCATATTCGCAAATGTATCGCATAAACCTCATTGATATTCACATATGCAACTTGATCAGACTAGTTTCATATTCCTTGTAATTTTAGATTCTAGATAAACTAGGTCTTTGCTCCAACAACTGCTTACTGATTAACTTTAATGACGTCTCCTCCTCAGCGCCACTTCTGCTGTCCCTCAGCCCACATTCAGCACAACTCCAAGGTGATGAGTCTGTTTAAGGACGAAAACTTCGACTGCGGCAACTTCCTCAGCCAAAGAGTGGCCAATGGCTACGAGGTGAAGCTCTCCTCCAGGCCCTGGATGACCCTGCTCCGTTACCAGCAGTTTGGCGAGTCCAGGTTCCTGTGCGGCGGAGCCATGATCTCCGAGCGTAGGTGTTCCTTCCATAAAATGAGATTTAAACTTCAGTATAGTGTATATTACTATAGGCTACATCCTGACTGCTGCTCACTGTGTCCACGGTCTCCAGAATGATCTGTAAGTACGCGAGTACCAGTCTGGAAACATTCGTGACTTAATCTCCATTGCCATAGCTATGAGATCCGCTTGGGCGAGCACCGCATCTCCACGGAGGAGGATTGCCGCCAGCAGGGACGCAAGAAGAAGTGTGCTCCGCCAGTTGTGGATGTGGGCATTGAGAAGCATCTGATTCATGAGAAGTACGATGCGCGTCACATCATGAATGACATCGCCTTGCTGAAGCTGAACAGGAGCGTTCCCTTCCAGAGTAAGTTCCCTCCACGTCAAGTGAATCCCCATCCTTATATATAACTATAAATACTCTCTATGCAGAGCACATCAAGCCCATTTGCCTGCCCATCACGGATGAGCTGAAGGAGAAGGCGGAGCAGATAAGCACCTACTTCGTCACTGGCTGGGGCACCACGGAGAACGGCTCCTCCTCGGATGTGCTGCTCCAGGCGAATGTGCCGCTGAAGCCGCGCTCCGTCTGTTCCCAGGCCTACCGCCGGGCAGTGCCCCTCAGTCAGCTTTGCGTGGGCGGTGGCGACCTGCAGGACTCCTGCAAGGGCGACTCCGGTGGTCCGCTCCAGGCACCCGCCCAGTACTTGGGCGAGTATGCCCCGAAAATGGTCGAGTTCGGGATCGTCAGCCAGGGCGTGGTCACCTGCGGACAGGTTAGCCTGCCCGGTCTGTACACAAATGTTGGCGAGTACGTGCAATGGATCACGGACACCATGGCCAGCAATGGCCTGTGAGGAGCATCCTAGAGTGTGCCTTAGTATTAAGTCCTACCCAAAAATATATTAAACACATATTTGTAAACTCATTTAACAGCTTTGCGGTTTTACTCGCGGTTTTTATGTGGTTCGCATAAAATTACACATTCAGGGGAAAATGATATTAGGGATTCGAAATCATTACTCCCCCACTCTTGCCCCCAACAACTTAAATTACTTGCGAATGAATCATAAACACATCTTACTTCTGTTTGACGGATAAACAAAAGCCTGGCTCAGACAGGCGAATAATTTCACATTTTCTGTGAATATTAACAATCAGAATTATTGTGCACCAGACGTGTGACTAATATGGCGTAAGTCTCAAGTGATAACCAAGTTGTTGTATGTTGCCTAGGGGCCAATCATCTACAGGGAAAATAAGTACCCATTGAACTATTAATCAACCGCGATAATGAAGCCAATATATGAGTTCACTCGAATTGTCGATCCAGCACACTTAAGATAAGCTGATTTGATTATTCTTCACGGGATTGCTTATAGTCAAGTGCTGGAATATTAAGTGTTGGAACTTCATAAGGCCCACAGTTTCCGACCTGTCCTAAGTGACGTGCGTTCTAAACATAGCCAGATTTGTATCGCAAACCGCAAATTTCGGGGGGTTTTTTGCACGCATGGCGCACTTAGATATCTTACCCGCGATGCTGGGAATTTCTGTTCTGGAAATTCCATGTTACACATCGGTCTCATATCCAAAGAACGGGTTTCGATACGGCGCTACGGCGACGACCTGCACCATGGGCGTAGCCAGGTGAATGGGGGAATCGGAGAGCATACTAATTGAGCAAAAAAGTACCGTCTCAAATGGCTGTCCAGCCCACCTGTTGAACTTCAGCGACGCGTGCCAGTCCCCACTGCAGTGGCAATCTCCAGCCGGAAAATCAGAGACTTGGAGGGCAGAGATCTAGCCATCTAGCTTGGAGCCACCAGCTGCGAATGGGAGAGCCAACTAATCGGCAGGGGGTTTCCTGGAATTTAATCGCTTTTCCCACGCTCCACGATCCAAGTTCAACTATCGCTTTTCGTACCGTAGCTGATGATTATGGTTCCCAATCGTTGTTATTATATGTCCGTGATTTATAAAGTCTCGGTGTTTTAATAAAACATAACTAATGCTTTAAACAAAACGTATACTATCAGGTAATTAAGTAATAATATTGCACCCCCTCTCTAGAGAGTGTAACTTTATAGTATTGCATTACAGACCCACGGCACTAACTCAATAAGGTAGCCAGTATCTGAAACTAGTAGTTCTCCATGCGCTTGATCTTGTGGAAGTGCCGCAAAACCTGTATCGCCGATCCGGGATTGCGCTCAGCTATTGATCATTAGTGCTGTCTGGATTGGATTGGGTATTGTATTGGCGCTTCCCACAGCACGCGAATCCGAGCTACAAAAGCGCGGCACACGACGATCTGCGGTTCATTACAAGTTCATCTGTTCAGCGCGCACGTTGGAGAACTCAATCGTGAACGGGAACGAGATCTCGACGAGTAGTAGCATCAGCATCCGGACTTGAGACAGGTTTTTTACAACTGCAGGAAGGCCGCCCACGTTGATTACGGATTATTGATCACAGCAATCAGTCAGGATGGTGTCTACGGCGATTGGACTCGGACTCCTCTTGTGCATCTTGCCCCAGCTGGTCATCAGCCGTAAGTTCTAAGCAAGATATATCCTACGGACAATGCTTACTATTCCACTGACTTGCAGAGATTAGTTGCATCACTCCGGCCCAAGCAGCCGGTCAGTGCATCCGATACCAGGAGTGCTCCTTTGTGCAGAAGATCATCGGGATCTACGGCCGAAATATACCTCGGAAAATCCACAACCAAATCATTCAGATGCAGTGCAGGAGCAGCACAAATACAAGGGTAAGTTTTAATGATTCCGGAACACATTTTAGTGCTAAAAAAAATGATCAAAAGCAAAAGTTTAAAAAACAAAATTTTTGGATTTTGAGGAGTAAAGAAAAGATCATTTAAAAGGCTCAATAAATCAACTTGAATTTATGTTTTTAGGACTTCCATCTTTGTTGCCCCAACGAGGCGACCCCGCAGTCCGCATCCAATCAGGAGTCCCAGAGCAAGGTGGTCCGATCCGCGGGTGGAAATCTGAACCGGTACAGTCAACAGGGTCTGCAGCTGCTGAACTCGGTGACCAACTGCGGCAACAAGGGCAATCCCAAGGTCAGCGGTGGAAAGACGGCCAGGCCGGGCGACTTTCCCTGGGTGGCCCTCATCAAGTACCAGATCAACGATCCGCGTCCATTCCGCTGCGGTGGCAGCCTCATCAGCGAGCGCCACATCCTGACCGCCGCCCACTGCATCATCGAGCAGCCCAAAGTGTAAGTTCCTCATGCTACAACCAAAACAATTTCATCACATCAAGATACAGAGTTTCTAAGATGATGCAACGAAAATTGGAAAACAAATCGATAGTCATTTTTAATTGGTTCAGCATCTACTACTGATGACTAATCTGTGCGGACATGGCATTCTGTTTCTAGCATCGCGGTGCGCCTGGGCGAGCATGACCTGGAATCGGAGGAGGACTGCCACTATTTGGGCGGTACGAACCGCGTGTGCATTCCGCCCTACGAGGAGTACGGCATTGAGGAGATTCGTGTGCATCCCAGCTACGTCCATGGCAAGATCAGCCATGACGTGGCCATCATCAAGCTGGATCGCGTGGTCAAGGAGAAATCTCACATCAAGCCCGTGTGCCTGCCCATCGACCAGAAGTCCCAGGAACTGGACTTCGATCAGAGCTTCTTTGTCGCCGGATGGGGCGGTACCGATAAGGAGACCGTGGCTACCAAGCTCCAGCAGGCGTTGATCACCAGGAAGAGCCTGGACGAGTGTCGCCAGTACTACGACAAGGGTGAGGTGAATGATAACCACATCTGCGCCACGGGTACCGGCATCAAGCACACCTGCCAGGGTGACTCCGGCGGCCCCGTGTTCTTCAAGCACCGCTTCAAGAACACCTACCGAGTGGTCCAGTACGGCGTGGTCTCCTTCGGCGGACGGCTGTGCGGACAGAACCAGAACCAGCCAGGTGTCTTCGCCAGCGTCATCGACATGCTTCCCTGGATCACGCAGAACCTTCAGTAGTGCCACCGGAAACTCTTTCCTCAAGACACCAATTTATTTATATCCGTAGTCTTAAGAGTTCGTGCATCTAGCTTTGTAAATAACTTTAATAAATAATATTAGCAGCAATAATGAAAATGCCAATTTTTACCTCGGCGGAGCTTGGAAAAAGAGGCAGAGGCCTTGAATAAATAATATCCTCTCAAAATAAACATTTTGATCGTCCTATTTATGTTGAGTGTACTGGTGCAATAGCCATGTTTTTTATGCGAAAGCAAACTATAATTAAGTTAAACCACTAAAATGGTGCACAAGATTATAGATAGTTATCATAGGTCCCGAACATAAGTTTCAAACAATCTTGACCACTAACCTTCGCCACAAAAGGACTATTTTGTTTGATAAATTCCAAAGGGTTTTTGGTTTTATAAATTGAAATTTTAAGATTCAAAAATCTTAGTCTCGCCTAAAAAATTCTATTAAATCCATCATCTATCAATGCCTGTTCCAAACGTAACTAACTGGTGCATAAACTGCTCGTCTGACTCATAGCTCTTCATGTGGTTTAAGCATAGCTTTAGATTTCCGAGTAATTTCTGTTTCTATATCACAGATACTTGAACTTCGTCATTATTGCCATGGATAAAGCTCTTAAATACCACTTATTTCAATATCAAATATCATTCGGAGAGTAATCATTCTATAAAAACGTTATTTCTCAGAATTTCTATATAGTATATATAGAATAGATAGATTATATATATACAAGCTTCGTCTTTTGATCGAAAACTGAGTCATCAACAATGGTAATGTCGTTGGTATGCTATAATTTGCGGTTAAACGCTGCATTTAATGTCCATTTAAAATATGTACGAGTACCTAAGATTTTGTCTGAGAATCTGTTTGGATCTATGTGGATAAAATTATACATATCTCCGGGTTAACAGTGAGTAATACTGGACCTATGTCCCTAAAAGTCTAACATGACTTTTGCTTTTAAGGATGTCCATTTAAATAATTGCCTGGAGCGTCTGTTTTGTGCGAGCTTTAACACTGAACTAAATCCAAGCCAATAAAACTGGGTAGTTATTTTAATGTAGGCCAAAGCGGAAACAATGGATCGATGCTATCATGCAGCCCATTGTTACCAAAAGCTCGTGGCCGAAAAGAAAATTTGGGGAAACAGTTTCCTTTTTGCTGCTGAAAAGTTCACAATGCGCAGTAGCCGCTTCCACGGATTTTTGCTGAAGATGTAACTTCCTATATATGATCTATATAGTTCCCATACCAACCTCGCCTCTGTTGCAGGATTCTCTACTTGGTGACCTTTTACCACACGCTGCCCTTCTTTGCGAATGTCTCCATGTTGCTGCTGAACAGCTACCTCTCCTCGTCGGTATCCTTTAATCTGGATACTATATAGTAAGTTGAAATAGCAAGAAGTATACCCCCTAACTTATATTGTCTAGCTTGAATTGGAACTCTTCTTTTCCGGCCATCACTGTATGCGAGATATATAACGCCGAGAGGATTTGGGATCTGAGTGATTCACATTTTGGCGTGGAGCACGATATGCATGTGGACGATTTCATTTCCGAAATTGTATTCTACCGAGGGGTCTGCAGCAGCTGCGAGGATTGCGCCAGGATGCCATGTCCTTCCAACTTCACCCACCTGCTGGACGTGGTGCGTTGGATTGCCTATACTGCTGTACTTGCTCCCAGCTATATCCTCTGGTCCTTGCAGTTCCGCACCAAGTGCCATCAACTGCTGGTGAATTGTAGCTATCTGAACAAGCTGTTCGACTGCTGCGATCAGTTTCTGCCCCTGCCCACGGAGTATGGACTGTGCTTCTCCTTTAACTCACATCAGGCTCGCAAAGTGTCCCATGTCCAGTATACCAACAACCGGATGACGGGACCGGGACATCTTAGCTTCCATGCTGCCACCGACATTCAGCTATACGTTCATGCCCCAATCGATGTGCCCTACCAGTTTTCCGAGGGCATGATACGGGAAACGGTGCTGCTAGGTCACTACAAGGAGCTGATCCTGAACGTGATCGAGGTGCACAACGACGAGAGTGTCCAAGATCTAAGCATGGAGCACCGGCGATGTCGCTATGGCCATGAGCATGTGCCAGAGCGCCAGGGAATCTACGACTTCTACAGCTACTCTGGCTGCGTGGTGGAGTGGTAATATGGAATGTACCTATTTAATATAATTCATTCCATGTATTGCATTCATAGTACTGTGCTACTCCAACTCGAGAACTGCAACTGCACCAGTCACTTTATGGCTATTCCCGGCCAGAATTACCTACCCGTCTGTGACTATCGCGGCCTGATCTGCCTGACCCGGATCCGCGACAAGATCATGACGGAGCGCAAGTCCTGCAACTGCATGAGCTCCTGTGAGGAGCCGGAGTACAACATAATATACAACTCGGCTGATGAGTAAGCACATTAAGAAACTTTCATTAACGCAGTTCAACATTTAGAGGTGAAACAAGTAAATGGGTTACTTAAAATGTAACTTTTAACTTCTAGGGATGATGAAGCCTCAGATGAAGTGTCGGAGATCCGAGTGTCATTGGTTGAGCTGCCAACACAACGATATGTACGTCGCGTAACTAAGACTATACTGGACTTCTTGAGTAAGCTAGACTATCCGTACCAATTTCAATTAGTTTTGAATTTCGCCTTTTCAGTTTCCCTTGGAGGGCTGGTTGGCCTGTTCTTTAACACATCCGCTCTGCGAATCGTGGAGACCATTGTAATCTGTCTGCGGTACAGAAAAACGGTTGTGAAGTGGGTTAAGCGGTTCTTTCTTGGCACAGTTCAATATTTACAGATCTTGGACCAGTCGACGTAAATCACAATAATATCATAAGCTTTAAATCATAGTTGTCTTTCTATAGGGAGTATGCACTTGTACGATATGGGTAGTGGGAGCTCAGCTCCGTGCCATCTTTTGTGCCACATAGGCTGCATTGTCCGGGGAATTGTGCCAGTTGGGCGGCGTTACGAACTGCATCAGGGTTTGCATGTAGTTTGGAAGATACATGAAGCTGGAGAAGAGCACCAGGAACAGCATAACCAGGAAGAATCCATCTGATTGCGAAGAGATAATCCGGATTAGCAGTTGGATTTTTCGCGTAATTTCGATACTCACTGATCAGCTTCTTCTCCCAGGGCTCAAGCATGTTGATGCACGTCACCAGTTCGTACTGGCGGTAGGCGTGGCTGGCTAATTGTTTTAAGTTCAGCATTTTGGATGACTAAAGTCCAATAAATTCGCGTCGCAAGAAATAAAGTTGTAAACAAAAAACATATGACATTTGGTGTTGCCAGACGTTATAAGCTGGAATTGCTGCAAATCGTATAAGCATTTTTGTATCAGCCAGCCTTTGACCGTCCACTAAGACAACACTGCATGTTAAGTCATAACAGTACTGTAAAATCATATGGCGCGATTGTTTTGATTATTTGTGATCACAATTTTTGTTTTTAAAGTGTTTTAAACCAAATTAAGCAGCGACAGGAGCTTATTATGAGCCGTAAACTTGTTCGGTAGCTTACAGCAAGTACAGCACTTTTAAAATCTATATAAACTTTGCGACTTTCAAGGGTTTGGGAGCCATCGCAACCTGAAGCAATTGAATTAAGACCATCCGTGTCCCATGAAAACCTTCAAGTATCTTATAAATCCTGCTGGGACATCTCCCTAAGTGCCACAAATAAGATCCTGACGGGGAACAAAGCTCTGGACTCTCATTTTGGAGGTGGAATATCCTTGGGTCAACTGGTCGAACTGATCGGCAATTCGGGCACCGGAAAAACGCAAATGTGGTATGGTTTAACTATTGTTTTGTTATTAACTATAACTTACAAGTGAAATGGTATTTGTATTCATTGATAGCTTGCAACTTTGCCTAAATGTACAAATTCCTAAGGCGGCTGGCGGATTGGAAGGCAGTGCACTATTTATAGACACCCGGCAGGATTTCCATCCCGACAGATTAAAGGGTTAGTAAATGAAGTAAACTACATATTTCTCTGGTGAAACTAAACAGAAATTATTTCTAGGCCTAGCATTGAAACTGGAAAGGCAGTATGCACACAAAGTTCCAGAATTTAAGGCTCACAAAATGCTGCAGAAAATCTATTATGTGAAGTGCCACAAACTGGATCAATTAATGGCCACAGTTCTCAGTTGCCACAGGCATCTCGTCGAGCATCCAGATGTAATATAAGTCCCTAAAATATTTGCTAATATCTACTTCTTCACTATCATAAAATATTTTTCTTGTCCCTTCCCAACATCACAAAAAATGCATACAAATGCCCAACCAATTTTTATTTAACTTTCATTGAAAGAGATTTCTGTAACTCCAAAAGCACAACTGTCTCCTTAGATTAAGCTGATTGTAATCGACTCCCTGGCTTTTACCCTGCGAATGCTTGAGAATGGCGCCCATCGTTACGAGATGCTCCTGGAACTGCATGAAAGCATGCGGAGATTGCAACGTCAACACGAATTGGCAGTAAGTCCTCACAATCGATCAATTTTCCTTTCCTTTCAAAATCCCGTCCACCGGCAGTGGGTCTTCACCAATGTGCTCACGCATCGCTACGTCAAGAAAAAGTTCCAAGTGGAGCCCGCCTTGGGGGATCTGCATTCGCACTTGATCAACGAGCGCATCTGGTTTTCGGGCAGCTCTGAGCTTCACCTGGGCAAGTCGTGGAGAACGAGTAGATTAATTAAGGAGTCTGAATGAGGCTGCATCACTTTTACTTTGTGTCTATTTAAAACATTAGCTAAAAATAGGTACTTAAGGTTTCATTATGAGTTTAAAAGTATGAAATACTTGCAGGAAATACTTTCACATGTTAGAAAAAAAAGTTACCTTGCTAAATAATATTGTTTTTCTTTGGAATACAAATAAGTTTAGCGAGAGATAAGGATCGAAGCATTACTAAAGGATAGAGGAGCAGCAGCAGCAAACGGCATCCTCAACCAGTTGATTCGCATCAGCACAGAAAACGGATCCGCAACTAGCGCACACCCAGCCAGCTGCTGAGCAGTTGCTAAAAGCTCCTCCGGTCAGCTCCACTCCACGACGACCCCGATGCCTATCGATGGCGCAGCTCCAGATTGACAGGCGAGCAACGCCTGATTTATGCGCGCGGCACAGGAATGTGGCAAAGTGTAAAAAGTGTTTACACATACGAACGGCGACACCCAAACCAGACTGCCGATCTCTAGCCCGCGGCCTTTTGATTATACACAAAGAAAAAGTAAAGTGTTATTTTATAAAATGATTCACATTTAATTCAATGCAAAGGCATTTAGTATGGGGATTTTGTAATAGTAGTATTAATAGTAGTATTACTGGATAATAATGTTATGCACTTTTAGATTAAATGTTTAGTAGTTTCTGGGTAAGGAACAATGCTCTACTCCTTAAAAATAAGACAGAAAAGTAATATTTGAAAACACTATTTTTTTCAGTGCACGCCTTAGGCGAACATGGAGCTCCGGGCAGCAGCTAGTCACGCATATGCCGCGACAACTAATTCAATTTCCACTTGCCAGAAGGAGGCGGCTGTTTAGCCGAGTGTGCACGCCTAATTGGTAATGCGATCGGCTTTATTGAGGCGCTGGAGTCGCAACAGCACTTGTGGCTATAGCTCTACCCATATAGCTTAGTCTCTGGATCTGAATCGCTGGATGTGACTGAGCCTGGTGCCTGCTGGCTGGTGGAGCTTGCTGGTGCAGTCACAGGCTATCGCTGTCGCTCAGCGCAAATCCCATTACGTGCGATCCGTTTCGAGCCATAAACATGTAACAGCTGCAGCCGAGCTCCCCTCCCAGTTTCCACCGATACCACCCGATCCTAGCCGAGTTTCCTGGCTTCCAGCGGCGCAACTTGTCGCTCGAACTTAATTGCCTCGGTTGCGCTTATGACTTTCGTGTGCAATGCATCCTCATCCACATCCACATCCACATCGCCGCTCTGTGACTGCAGCATTAGAAAGTAACTCCAGCCGGCGGAAAGCTATAGCTATCAACATCGGTCTCGCATCGTCTTCGTCGTCATCGCGAAGTTTGCTGGCGCTATTTTCGACACCGCCTGGCCCGCCATAAATTTCCAACTGCCCTGTAATGCACTTGGGCCTCAAAACTAGAAATGGTCTGACTGAGTCGGTGGCACCGAAAAAAGTTTGTGATGTGATCGGAAAAAGATATTGGGATCAGTAAAAATCATTACAGATCAAGATTTGGTATTTTCAAGGCAATGGTACTTGGTTTTTGTATCTCTATATGTACATATAACTAAATTAATTATAATTATTGTGCGAAATCGTAATGCCTAATATAATATTTAATACTTAAGTTTTACTTCTTTCTTTTTTCTTTTCGTGTGGGTAATTTACCAAGCTGGCAAGTTGAAAGTCCATTTCCCATTTTCCATTTCGTACGGGTTTCAATTAAAACAAAAAGCAAAAAGCCAACAAACATTCCGAGTTACCGAGCATGGCCTGGCAATTTGGCCACGACCTCGTGCACCGCCAAAGTTCAGGCCCAGAGTGGCTAATTCCGCAACACCGCGCCGCCCCGATGGCAGCGCCCGATAGCAAGAGCCGTGGCCACAAGCTGCGGCTCCAGGAGGAGCTGCTCCACTCTGGCCGTGAGATAATCAAATGTTGGCCAAAAAGGATTGCACTCACTGCGGCTGCTGCCGCCGCCTGGCTTATTGTTCTGAGAAATTGTTATTAATTGAGTTGTACGTTGCACCTGGCAAGCTTCGATTTGGAAAGCGCTTCACCACTTCTCGATTGCTATCTGCTGCCCAGTGGGTGGCCCTTCAGCATCGACTATTGACATACTAAATGGCCCAGCTCAGCTCATTTGCCCAATTTAATTTGGCCTGGCCATCAATTTTAGCCAGGAGAGCAGCCGCGATCTCGTCTCATTTGCATGCCCGTAATTTATGCCCATCAATTAGCTGATTAATTTATTTGGCGTGGAGCGAGAGCTTCGTAGCATCATGCCCAAAACGCTTGTCTAATTAGACAAATGCGCTACATTAATGTCGCCTCTGACATTTATAAAGCGTGGTTCTGCCGCAGTTGGGTAATTTTTCACTGATTTTCTGGCTCCTCTTTCTTACTAAGTGAGCTTCAGGGGGCTTGGTAAATCAATTAATGACCGCCTAAGAGGGGTTAAATGGCCAGTGGGATTAGATCCTAATGTTTTGACATTCAAATCGAATTAGTCATTTTAATAGTGATTTTTTGGTAAAGGTCCCTGGAGCCAAGATAATAAACAGATCGGTAAATTACTTATAGGTTCGTTTTAAAAGCGCGTCTTAAACTTGATGAGCAGCTAAGTAAATAAACGACTCACAATATTCGGTTTGTTTTTGTAAAGATATTTCTTTGATGCCAGTTCCTTTCTTACGACTTTCACTCGGACGTTTCCCAGGTCTATTAGCCAATCCATTCCCCACCTAAATTAGTTTATAATGCTGCTTATAAATGCCACTTGTCCAGCAAGACACGGATGTGCCTGGATCTTGATCCAGTCGCAGCGTGTTTCTCAGCGGCAATCTTCGCCTGCCACTGGCGCAAGGGGAAATGAAAATATTTTAATTAAAACACAAACTAAACGTTTACTGCTGGCGATGTTATCCATAGCATTTCATACAAATAACAACGACAAGTCTAACCTGGCTACCAGTCGGTTGTGGCTTGCAACTCCTCCAGGAGCTCTGTGCTGTTGCTGTTGCTGCTGCTGCTGCGTGCAACAAATACGGCAAATGTTGCATGTAACAGCAGCAACATGTGTCGCACAGCGCCTATTTGAATATATATCAAATCAGTTTCAGATAATTTTCTATAACAGCTCGACACACAGGCAAATGGTCGAAACATTTGTACGAGTTCGTTGTCTAAGTCTTTCGTTTTGCTAGCCATGTTGCTGCTGGAGTTGGTCCTACTTCAGCCGCTGCCGCTGCCGCTGCCTGCGAGTGCATATTTTACGCGCTGCATTGTGGCAAACGGATCGGGGCTCGAAATTAAGTTGTTTTGCATAAAAGCGCCATAAAAAGGCGCAGCCGCGGCAGAGGCAGCAATTGTGATTAGAACGACACGACAGGCACGACATGCGACATATGAGACGATGCATTTGCTGCAGTGGCAGTTGCTGATGTCGCTGCTGCTTTTGCCTTTACTGCGTCCTTACATATATGGCCAGCAATTGTCGGTCGAAAATTGGCGGCTCAACACGAGCGACGTATGTCATCAAATGGCACTGCCATTAGCGATCGCCAAAGACATCCTCGAGTGGTTCGAGTGGTTCGAGTGGATCGCGTCGGTGGCAGCTTCCTGCGGCCAGTAGGCAAATGGTAGGTACCCACCTCCTGTGAACCCCTCGGAACAGCGGCAAACTATTATCAATTTAAGTTGGCTAATTGGTTTCAAATTTATGGACCTGTATTTGATATTTATGTCGTCTACGAGAGCTGTGTGCCCCGCAATTTCGCCTGTCTGCCAGCCAAGAGGCCCTGGCTATATGGCTGTTCCGATCCGATGCGATCCGCAGCGACCGTCGCTGCCTTGGCATGCTGCAAACAACGTAATTGGCTTTCAATTTGCAGCAAATTGTTGCAACAGCCACGACAACGGCGCAAAGAGCCAAGAGCAACCGAGAAACATATTTAGATTATAGACGGATAAAGTTTATGTACGTTCTGTTCTCGCTGGGCAACTTTACTTTAGCTCGAGGACTGGCCCGCAGGCCCGCTTCCTCTGCTGCTGCCTGCTGGCCTCCGTCCACCATAATTCCAATGAGTTATATGCCCATCATGTGCGCTCCTTGGCCCTTCAAAGTCGAAAACGTATCGCGCGTTAATTAAAAAACAGCAACAACCACCGAAACATCAGCGGACCGCTTGGCAGCAGAAATAATACAGAAAAAAGCGCCAAAAATGCCGCTAAAATTTCGCTCGGCTGCGGCGGTTCGAAAAGGGCGGCTACCAAAGTCCTGGCCTTGGACAGTACTGTTCAATAACTAAATAAAACACTTGAGCCGCCGTACACTGGAAAAGGTTTTTCCCATTTCTCGATTATCATAAAATGATTGACTACAACTGATACGAGTAAGATTAACAGATTAACATATATTGGGAAAGCAAATCGCTTAATCTTTGCTTGACTATCTAAACACAACGTTTTCGACCAATTACACCTAATCTGTCTAAGTCTAAGGCAAAATGTTTGGTTTTTTTCTGTGCATGGAGGAAGAGAACGAGAGGCAGGCACAATCAAGCGAAAATTCCTGGCATTTTCTGCTTCATTAACAACACACTCATACTCCAGAACCCGGCCATTTCGTTTTGTTGGAGCCGAGTTTACCGCTGACGAAATTTACGCACGTTGTGGTAAAAAACCCAGCCACCTCTGCAGTATCTGTTTTTGAATCCACTGCTTCGGGCCTTGATCATCCGCTGAGCTTAGTTTTGTGTGTTTCGGCCGGCTCTTTTTGGTATTTTAATTAGAAACCGAACAACGCAAAATGCATTGCTCGCTGGTCGATTTCGATTTCTTTCCTCCTGGCCTTCTGATCTGTTTCGCCGGTTTCACCATTTGTGTCCCGATCCCGTCCTCTGATTCGATCCGTTGTAGTGCCCAACTTGCATTTGGTTTTCACATTCAATTAGCGCATATTTCAAATGCGATCGCCGCAATCCCAGCCGAACATATTTCTGTTCGATCCAGACGAGTCCAAATGACAGGAAATGATGCTGATGGCAAAAAGAGTCCAGCAGTTCAGAGCTGCCTTATATCATAAGATCGACCTCTAAAGGTCTGATTGCCAAAACTACAAATATAATGTCTGCTCTTCCAAAAGTAATAATACGCCATACATGGTTATGTCTTTTACTATCTTTATTGATATTCCTTTATTGCGTCTAGATCAAAATTAATATAATAAATAAATATTACTACACAGATAGGTATAATACAGTACAAAATCGTTTGAATCTTACCCGGTTACACAGCTACCTAACTACGAGCATAAAACTATATTATTGCGTACAATTGCAAACAACTTTTAAAGTCTAACGCGTTGCGGCTGGGTCTTAGTTTAATGCTACGAATCTATCTATAGACAAAATACAATAACGGTAACTGCTAATTTACAGTATTTACAGCTTATACACAATATAGAGCGCGACGATCCTAAACGAGAACTATATACATACAGCTTGTGCTAGCCAAGAAGTTGATTTCCTTTATATATATCATTACCTTTAAATGAACGTAAATGCGCGCCTGGGTTACACTAAATATCACACTGTGTAGGATGTTGCTTAGCGAAGAGAAGAGTTCGGAATTACACTATCTAACTTATATATCCATGGGTGTCCACATCGACATGACACTGTGGAAAACGCCCGTCTAACTGAACTTTTTAACTTGATCCACAAAAAAAAAAGAGTTATTCCTATAGAGAACTTTAAGTTAGAGATTAAAGAGCAAGCCATTAAACTGGTTAGTATTAAGATAAGATCAGGTATACAAATACATTGGCCCAACCTGTGGCCTCGAAAAGCTTGATTAACACGCTTATTTATTTGTGTACCTCATCTTACCATAAACGACCTGGATTTAGAAAAGCTACGTTTTCAACAGAGCCACTCCTTTGTGGAGTACCTCGTAATCCTAATCTATGTCCTAGTTTTAATTACGCTACTAATGCACTTGGAAAAAGCGCCCGTGCTGTGGCAATTGGAACTTTGAGCTGGCTGTGGGCGGCTGCTTGGTTTCTTGATTGGTTGGTTGGTGAGATCACGGCTAAACCATCACAGTGGTGGCAAGGACATCGGAGCCCTCGTCGCCCGAGGAGGGCGGCATGGACTTGCAATTGATCGACCGCTTGCCAAAGTCCTTCCGCGGACTGTCTAGCGAGCCCACCGTGTTCTTCCGCATGTCCGAGTTCTGGGTTTTGTGCAGCAGTATTTGGGAGCTCCGCTTGTGCGCCTGCTTCAAACCCGTACTGGAGTCCAGCTCACGCTCGAAATCGCATGGCGGGAACAGTGGCTGCGATCTGTGCAAAGCGGAACTACTCGCCGCCGAGGCGGCTAGTTCCGGAGCGGGATTGAGGCTTAGTTCCATTCCGGTGGCCGCTCGCAGGGAGCTGGTGCTGCCCTTAAGCGGATTCGTATACCTTCGCAGATTCTCCTCGTTCTGTAGATTATTCGACTTCTCCTCCTCGTGACGCAGTGCATCCAGAGAGGGAGTTAAGTTCATTCCTGAACTGGTGCGATAAGCGAGACGCTGCTTCCAGTAAAGACTGATGAAAACCGAGAATCCCACCAGGACTATAAAGACACCGCATAGCACTCCTATCAGCAGACTGTGACCCGAGCCATCGGCCACTCGGGCCGTTTCCAGCTTGACCTCCACAATGGAGGTGAGGGCAGCTAATTTTGCATGCTGCAACTCCAGTTCCTTGCGATGCTGAACGCCATTCAACTGCCTGGAGCTGAGGAGTTCACCCAGCAGACCCACCGCCACTGACAGCTGCTGATCATTTATTTTGCTGGAGGACTGAAAATATACAAAGAGTAAAATAGGGTTTGGATTAGATTAAATGCTTCAGACAATTGAGTTGATATTTTATATCTTTAAAGTACATAAGGAGGGAATGTGCAAAGCACTTACCACAGTTAGTTCAACAGTGTCATTGGTGCCCGTTTTGAGATCGCAGAGCACCATGAGCATTCCCGGATCCTGACCAAGTGTACTCGCCGGCTTCTTAATCAGCTTGGCAGCCAGCAGCACCCTCACCAGGGAGCAGAGCCCCTCCACCGAAGCTCCCTTGCCCACGCGCTCCAGGGCCAAGAGGATGGTGAGACGGGCGCAGTTCTCGTTGACCACGGCCTGATTGGGCCAGCAGCTGGATTTGGCTGGCAGCCGGGGTGGAGCTACCCGTCGCGATGGTTCCAGGGCTCGACAATCCCCTCGAACAGTGCAAGGCGATGAGAGGCAGGTCTCACTCAGTGCCGGAACACACACCTCGTGCTGTTTGCAAACGCCGGACAGATTCGAGGACTTGGAGAGCGGATCCAGCTTATAGCAGTTGGGCAATCCACACCAGAGATTTGTGCAGCGAGAGGTGCCGTTTTCGCAGACACACGCATTGCAGTTCTCATCGTCCTCACTTCTTCCGGTTAGAGCAATATCCAGCCAATTTTGGCTTTGGTTCAGAGCAGTGTAAGGGGAGATGGTGTTGCTCGCGTTTTGACAGGCGGACTTGGGATCGGAGAGCACTAAAAAAGACATATAAAATAGCACTTTTAGCTTCTTAACACTCAAATTATATGTAGGCTTTTAAATATTTATAGTAGTTATAAAGTGTAATCCAACTTACAAATTTCACACCGCAATCCATGGCGTCCTGGTGGGCAGATGCAGCTGTATCCCCCGATTCCGTCGATGCAGGTGGCACCGCCTTGGCAGGGCTGTGGCGAGCACTCGTTCACATTGATGCGGCAGTCAGGACCGGAGAATCCTTGAGCGCAGACGCAGCGGAACCAGCCCGCTCCTGACTCGCAAGTGCCGCCATTGTGACACGGCTGGCCGCGGCACTGGTCAATGGCCTCGGCGCAAAACAGACCAGTCCAACCTGGCGTACAACGGCAATGCGGCTGCAGAGCCTTGTCCGGGGCTCCAGGCATGCAGGTGCCGCCATTCTGGCACTGACCGGCATAGCAACCTGTAGCCCGCTCCGAACAGCGTTTACCTACATAGAAGAAAAAATGAATTTACAAAATTTGATTTAATATTTGAATATAAATCGTAGTACAATGTTTTGATTTATTCAATGCTTGTCTCCTCAGAAACAGAAGACTTAGGCAACGAACTTATACTAAACCATACTAAACCTACAATTAGTTTCTTATTGTAATATATTTGTTAAGCTAAAATATATTTCCCAGAAACGAAAGACTTAGGCAACAAACTCATTGGGAGTGTGGGAGTTTACATCCATAGAAAGAGGATTGCCATGACCGTTGGCTTGGCTTGAACTAATCGCAAAAGTAAAAGTGTGCCGACATAGATCGATGTGGCTTGACTGTATCTGTATCTGTATCTAAACTGTGGCCGAAGCTATTTTTTATTATCTGTAGCTGTGTCTGTGACAAAAAAGCGAAACGCGTGAAATATGCAAATCGCAAATTAAAAACAAACATAAATCATGGCAAAGGTTTGGCCTAGCTGCGGTGGGCCCCCTAGGAGGTTTTGGCTGCCACATGTGGCAAATACATTCGCCGGCTACGAAGACTGCGACTAACGCGCAAATAGTTATTTTTTTATTTTCAAAAGCTTCGCGGCTCAGCCGCATTCGCTTCAATTTGAGGCCGTAATGACTGCCGACTTTCAATGTTCAAATAAATGCGACCGACTCGATCGTGTGTGTGAGAGCGTAGCGCTCTTAACTTAACGTGGCCAACACTCGTCTCGCGCCCATTTAAAGCCCCCAAGCGTTGATAATGCGCCAGTCAGGCAGTCGGCATACAGCAGGTTTTTATGCCCTCTCGGAAGGAGTAGTAAAAACTACGCGGTGAGGTTGTAAATTTAAATCGGTTGGTCTAAAAAACTTCTTGTAAATAAAACTTGGCATAATCAAAGGGAACAATTGTGTGCAAAAGCCTTTGTTAAATACTTGGATTGCGTGATTTTTAAAGGAGTTTTATTCCCGTTCATTTAATGTTGATTGATTGAAACTCTAACCTGCTGTGATACTTTTTACCACTTTCACTGATCCCCACCAACAGCAGTCTGTCCCTAGGGTATTTCGCCTGCGGCTTAGCACCACTTTTGCAGTCTGCACTTGTTGCAACGCTTTGACGTTCACTTTGGCGGCCTGGCCGCTTAAAGCGCACCCGACTCAACCCGGCTCAGTTCGCCTCAGTTCAGTTGAGCTGAGCTCATCGCAACCCGACTCATCCCAAATTCCCAAATCATCTCATTCCGTCTCGACTCACCTGTCCAGCCCGACATGCATTCGCATGTAAAGTCGCCGTCGCCGTCAAGGCAAATTCCCCCATTTCGACAAGGATTCGGCGAGCATTCGTTGAGATCTGCGGAAAGTTAATGAGTTTGCCGTCTCTGTGCATCGGTGGATGTGCATCGGGATTACTCACTGTGCTCGCAGAAGGTGCCGGTGTGGCCCACATGGCATTTGCAGAAGGTGCCCACGTCGCTCATCTCGCAGCTGCCGTGTCCGCTGCAGGGCAATCCGCTTGGCTTGGCCATCTTCCTCGTCGTTGTCGCCGATGTGGTGCTTGTCGTCGTCGTTGTCGCTGACGTCGCTAGGCTGACATTGGCGAAGCAGCCCTCTGTTGGTTTGGGGGACATGATTAGGCTTATTAACGCAGGGTTACACTCAGAAAGATATACTATTTATAGCAAAGTACCTCATTTTGTTGGCAAAAGGTACGAGGTACGAGAACAATTTTGTCTTTTAGAGTTTCTTATCATTTCTAAATTTATTTTCAAAGTGTACGTCTGAGGAATCCCTCGTCTCTCGAAAGACGACAAAAAGCTGGCAATCTGCGATTGATGAGCTTAATGATGTCTTCATCGGGGCGAGATCGGTTCCCATGGCCTCTCGGCAGGTCTGTGCTATTTTTACTCACCGTTGCAGGGCGGTTGGGAGCAAAGCGGACGCAGTTGCTCGCAATGCTTTCCGGCGCGATCCGGAGGACAGTGGCAGTAGTATCCTTCGGGCGTGTTGAGGCAGTGGCCCTCTAGACATGGCGATGGTGTGCAGTTCTCCTTGGCCTCCTCGCACAGAGATCCCGAGTAACCCAGTGGACAAATGCAATTGAATTTGCCCACCATGTCCACACACTCACCACCATTTCGGCACGGTGAAGTGGCACACTCGTCGATGTCCGTCTCGCAATCGCGACCCGTGAATCCTGCGGCACAGGCGCACCTATAGTCGTTGACCAGATCGATGCAGGTGGCTCCATTGCGGCACTGACCCACACAGTCATCCAGGTTTTCGGCACAGGTGACTCCGCCCCAGCCCTCCTTGCAAATGCAGGCAAAGGAACCCGGCTGATTGCGGCACTCCTTGGCATTGATGCACGGTCCGATGGCCATGGATGTGGATGCCACCGCACTGGTCAGAGCGGCCAGAAGGGCGGTGCTGCTCAGATTACTCCCAATGATCGCAGTGGCTGTGGTGGTCAGCAAAGCGTTCGCAGCGATTCCGGCGGAATGCGGCGCCTCGCACTCGTTCACATCCACCTGGCAGACATCGCCGTGCCACTCCGGCGGACACTCGCATCGAAAGCCACCGATTAGATCGATGCAAGTGCCACCATGCTCGCAGGGACCCCCGGCGCACTCATCGATATCTGGAAAGGAATGAGGGGAAATTCAAGCAGATTGTTTAAGTGCCATCAAGAGATAAAGTGCTAGCACTGTGGGAAAATGCTCGTAATTAAAAATTAGTCCCCAATATCACAATTAAATGTGGTTTATATAAATGAATATACTATATATTTTAATCTTTTCCAAAACTGTTAGTTTTGGAAATTCCTTCATCTTGCTGGTTTTAAAACATCTTTGCTGTAAGCTAAGAACCATTTGTGTATTATTTTACATTTAGACACCAGCTCCTATTTTCTCTCCGTGAATGTGTTGATTTTGCTGTTGAGCGCTCGAGCGGCCAAAGCTTGAGCAGGTGGCTCTTAGCCCGGGCTCAAGTCATTGAACTGACTCGCGGATGGACTTGGGTATGGGTATGAGCCTGCGTGCCTGGCTTATCGGTTGCCTGAAATCTTCGCGAGACGACGCTTCCTTCTCTATCCCCTTTTTATTTCCTTCAGCAGCACGCAACTCATTTGTTTGTATTATGGACGGTCTGATAAGAAGGGCACCCCAAAAATAAAGTTGTGACCCTTTGCTGGCCATTAGGCCGCAAATAAGGTCAGATTGCAGATCAGCAGCAGTTACGATACTTTTAACTCAATTAAGCAGTATGAAATTTTATATCTAAGTTTCCCACGAGATCGGAAGACTTGAGGAGTTTACCAAATATAGAAAATATTTACGACTGAATTACCTGATTAATATCGTGGACTGTAAACCATTTGAAGTGACACTGATGTTGCAATCAAACCATTTATATGTCAGTAAGTAAAGTGGAATTCTTGGCAACAATTGAAGGCCCTTAATTGGCATGCCAAAATGACCAGTACAAATGTAAATCCTTCAACGCCGACTCATTCGTTTTGGGAATGGCAACTCAATTAGCTTACGGCTTATTGCATTGGCCAGCAAATAGTTTCTGGTGAATGTGTCGGTCGTGCTCCAATTGGAATGCAAAACCGAAGCGAACCAAAGATTTGCCGGACCACCGTGGCAACAACAATCATAATAAACCCATACCCATACCCATACCCATATCCATCCATATCCAAACCGAAACCCAAAGCCCAAGCCGGCAACAATAACTGGCTGTGCGTGCTACGTTTCATTTCATTCCATTTCATTTCACTTCATTTTATTTCGCTACAGTCAAATGCGTGTGTGCTCAATTGCATGATCGAGCGGCAACATTGCCGCACAACAGCACCATCAGCCACCACCAACTTGGCCAGCCAGTTGGCCAACTGGCCGGACAAAGAGCCACATTCAGCCACATTCAGCTGAGCTGTGGCTAATCGCGTGCTGCGGAATAAAATTAAATCAAAACTCACTTATTTCGCATGTCGGTCCCGTCCATCCGGCTGCGCAGTCGCAAGTGAAGTCGGGGGCCAGTTGCTGCTGCAGCTGCAGGGAACCTAGGGACACCAATCCCGAGGAGCTGCTGCCATTCAGCGCCTGCCCCTCCGGCCGCAGGTGATCCAGGCTGCGCATCGAGCTGCTGCGTCTTACCGGCCTGCCCATGTTGCTCCTGCCATGTGATGTGCGATACACTTGGGCTTGAGTTCGGTTACTCGGCTGCAAAGATACACAGATACAGATACACGCTTAGACTCTGTGCTATAAGATAAATAAATAATTTTGGAATATGTAGCGCTCGATAGGAGCAGAAAGGACTTTACTTCCTTTAAGCTAATATTTTCGTGGTTTTTCTTCGAGTGTCTGGCAGTTAAGTGCAGTTGGGGGACGGCTCATCCAGAGCGTATTAAATTAGTTTATGGCACTGCGAAGAAGCGCATAAATCTGGGTCTTACCTTCAGCGTGCATGTGCCGCCGTTGCGGCACGGCCTGGTGGCACATGGGTGCTCCACGATCTCGCACTGCTCGCCCGAGAGGCCCTCGGCGCATGTGCAGCGGTACTTGTCCGGAGCGGTATTCTCGCAGGTGCCGCCGTGCTTGCAGGGTTCATGGGTGCCGCAGAAATTTAAATCTGTTGAGTGCGTAAGGCGAGACTATGAAATATGCATCACGGCGTAATGGCATCGATATTATCGATGATACCCCCATTCCCACATCAAGACTGCCATTCCCACTGGCAATTTGCAGGTAACTTACCTTGGTCGCACAATATGCCACCCCAGTTGGTGTCGCACACGCATTTCCAGGCGCTGCCGTTGCAGGAACCATGTTTGCAGCCGGGATAGACCATGCACTCGTTGCACAGTGGACCCCGCCAGCCGGGTCTGCATCTGTGGATTAAATCGCAGATTTTGATGAGTCTCTGGGTCTGCTTTCGCTGATTGGTAAATGGAGCATAGAGGACCCTAGCCGAGGGGTTAGCTCAAAGTTGAAGGATTCAGCAGCTTGGGAAAAGTATTCCCCCATAAATATGCGGAGCTGTGATTACAAAATGGGGCATCGAAGACCTTGGCCGAAAGGTGATCTTCATTCGATTGGCTACAAATGAGTGTGTTCGTACTTGCAGCATGGGAAAATGCAAACTTTGAATTCAAAATGAGGTGTGGCAGAGCCCAGCTAAAAGGCGAGCTCCATAATAGCATCCAGATTTTATCTGCAGCTGGGAAATATGTAATGCCAACGGTGGGATAATACTTATTTATGTTTCCTATTTAATAGTTAATAAAACACCTGTCTTAGTTAAAGCTCTTCTAATTATTGTATATTGCTAAATAATATTAGCCATTTGTATGGCAGGCCCAAGCCTTTGGGTTTCGAAGGTTATCTGCATCTTGGGAAAACATTCCCCCATTATTCATTCGGCAATTTGGGCTCCGGTGTTTCTTTACATTTCAATTTGGCCTGGGAACGCATTTGGCTCCGGCCAACCACCGAATTGGGTCACTCTGAACTTTGGCCTTGATGCATCAAATGCTAAAGTGGCAGTGCAGCCAGTCGGCCACTTTCTGGCCACTTTGGCAACTGCAATAGCCAGTCCTGCTCCAGCTCGAGGCGAAAACTGTGATTTTATCGCTGCAACACGCCAAAGTGCAGCGGGATCAAAGTTAGCCAGCCGGGGCATCGAGTACTGAGCCTTAGAGGCATCGAAGTATCGAGTTATCGCCCGGCGAGGTGCTAACTCTACAAGCTCCGGGCATCACGTCATGCTTGGCGATAGTCGACATCGCCGTTCGATGTCGGTAATTTATGATTTCATTAAAACGGCAGCCTGTTGTTATCTGGCTGCGAATCTGCGGCTCTGGTTCCACCGGCCTTCCCGGCCAACAAATCGCAAATGGGCCAGCAACGTGCAAACAGCAAAAGTAATTTTTCTTCTGGCTTATAATTGTTGTGGCGCAGCGGAAATCTGCTGACTTTTGATGTTTTCTAGGCCACACTAATTATTGCTATTTAAAGCCAGGACGAGAGGAGGTGCTCGGCGCGGACTGGTTGGCATGGGATGCCTGACAGAGCATCATGATGCAGTCGAGAAATGCAATCATGGCCGCCGGCTCACGTATTCTGTGTTACGCTGGAGCATTAACAACGGCAACAACAACTGTTGCCGCAGCAGCTGCAGCAACTATTGCTGCTGCAACTGCAACAGGAACAACCGAGGCACAAACGTTTTTTCGTGCTGCGGTACGGGGACTTGCAGCTGCACTGTGCGAAATTTACTGCATGTGAATTCAATGCTTAAATTTAATATTTAAAGATTGAAATTACGTGCTTGAAACTTGACGATCAAGATAAAATTAGGCCTGAAAGCTAGAACCATTAGACAGACATTATGTTCATTAGTTTCCAAATGAACTTATGTCTTTTCCAGTACACTTTCTGCCAAAGCTCTTGCTGCGCGAGTCTGAGCATGAGAGCTCCAAAGAGGCGGCCTGCAAGTTCTAACCAAGAAAGCGGAGCAGGAGGAGGAGGAGAAGGAGAAGGAGGAGCTCCTGGCCAGATCAGCGCTTGGCCATCGTGCGGGCGTTTGATTAGCCTGCTCTTTGGCCGCGAATCGCATTGGTACTGGCACTTGATTGCAGATTATATGGCTGGTTACAACTTTATAGCACTCGGGTTATCTCCCAAATGGGTAGTTACCGAGTGCGAACAATTTAATAAGGAATGCGGATTGATTGGAAATAAACCGATTGGATCAGTTTCCGCTCTTTCCCATTTCATTTCAGTGGCAGTGATGGGAAAAATGCAATTCGCTTTGCTGGCGGTTTTTAGCGAAAAACCAAAAGGTGTACGCTCATAACTGCACGAATTCTCATCCAATTTCAGCTCTAAAACCTTTCCTAAGCTCAATTTTACTTGGACAATAATGGTGAATTCATATTTTACTTGAATTAAAAAAATTAATTTTTTGCCATTTTTTGAAATTTTGATGATGGTACCCCTTACCAAAAAGTGAAAAATTAAAAAAAATTTTTTTATTTTTTTTTTTTAAATGTTTAAATGCAAATCGTTTATGCTTCAAAATAGTGTTTAAAAAAACAGTACCATTTTGATATACCAATATTTTTGGAGGAGTTATGAGCTCAGGAGTACTGCACTGTACCGATTTTTCGAGTAAATTTCAACCAATTTAAGTTCTGAAAGCATTTCTACGCTGGTTTTGACTTATACAACATTCGTACATTCAAAACTTAATTGATTTCCAAAACTAAATTTTTGACGATTTTTTGAAATTTTGATGATGGTACCCCTTATCAAAATTTCAAAAAATTAAAAAAAAATTTTTTTTCCATTTAAAAAAAGTTTGGATACAAATCGTTTAAGGATCGAAATAGTGCTCCAAAAATGTATACCATTTTGACCCACCTTATTATTTGGCTGAGATATGAGCTGAGGAATTCCAGAAATATCCTGTTTTTTTATTAACTTAATTACCAGAAAAATGCGCTTTAATCTGCACATATAAACAACTATAATGAAACTCCTGTATGTTTCCCATCATTGACTTGACCATCGACTGATTGGCATTTTCCTGAGAGAAACGCTGCCAACTATTTCACACATTTAGCAGCGAAAAAAGCGGCACTGAATTAAGAAAAGCAGCAGTAGTAAAAAGTGCCCCATGTGAGCTAAAGAACCCATTTCTCTGCCACCGATCTCGCGCAGCAAGAAAGAAACTGTCGGCCATTATTATAACTGTGGCCTGGCCTGGCCTGGCTGTCGATTTTGAGCCATCCGAGTGGCGACTCCAACCATCAGAGGCCAGGGCCATTAAGCCGGCCCCAAAGTTTAGTGGCCACATGCAAAAAAGTGTCATAATCACATCGTTAAGTGGGGTGGCAGGGGGTCGTAATTACAAAGGCGTACACTCTACTCTCCACAGTATGATATGAAAATGTGGAAAAAACAGGTATGTATATAAAGCTACTTACTCGCATTCGCCCGGACGATCGCACTTGCCGTGGACGGGGTCGCAGCCCGCCTTGCAGATGGCCTCCTCGCAGTTGACGCCCTGCCAGCCATTCAGGCAGAGCTTCTGACCCTCGGAGCCGCAGGCATAGTGACCGAACTGGTCGTCCCGCGGACGGCAGAAGGTCGTGCAGGTCGTGTTGTAGTAGGTAACGGCGCATTGCACCCGGACACGGTAGGTGATCCGCGCGTTCCGCCCGATGTGGTCCAGCGTCTTCCACTCCGGCGACGGCAGTATCACGCCCGAGTATGATGTTTCCTCAATTAACCTCTCCGCATCTGCATTTCATGCCATTTCATTCGGTTGGGTTCGGTTGGCAAGTTGGGTGTTTTCGGGTCAGGATTCCGATGGGCGGCGAGCGTGGCATGGCAATTGTTGTGGCGGTTGTCATCGGATTCGGATTGGGATTCGTTGTTGGTGGCATCAACGTCGGCGTTCCAGTGGAGCAGGGACAAATGGGATGTGGGCAGAAGAATTTAGTTAGTTGTTGGTACCATTTCGGGCGCTTAAGGATGCACTCAGAGAAACTTTATTGCAAAACTTGGCCAAATACTAAAGTGAATGTAGTGACTGTTGATCAACTAGTACTATTGGCTTTCTCTGAGTGTATTCTCCTGCGTCTTTGCTTGCTAATTAAGCCAAATGCCTGGCTGGCAAACAATAACGAGCAGCGTGCAACAAGCAACATGCAACTAGCAACTTGCAACAAGGGGCTGTGGTAACGAGCACAAGCCTCCAATTGCCACCGCACTTACCTGGATAGGATGTGTTGTACATATCCAACGCCTGCAGTATCAGCGTAAACGACTTCTGTAATTGAACGTGAAGAGAGGAGGAAAGGTGGCATTTAGTTTGGTGTCTTCAAGTTTGACTCTGCGCTGACGCTAATGGACAGTTTAATCTCGGGCTGCCCGCCATGCAAATGAAGACAACGCAACGGCCGGCAAACAAAACAAAAAACCCAGAAAACAAACAGCAAACCAACCAACAGACGAACAAAGCGATCAGACAACAAACAAAGCGAGCCAAAGCAAAACTAAACACTTTAATTTCACGCAGGAGAAGCGGACTTTCTAAACAGACTTCAGTTTGGCCATGTCCATGTCGCTGTCCATGGCATTGCAATTGGCCAAAACCAAATGCGAAAAAGCAACGCAGACCCAATTCTCTTTAATTTCCAGATTTGTTTTCATTTCATACCCTCACCGGGATAGTTTTTGAATTTTAAAAAGAAGTAAAGGACTTTTCGGGTGTATTTCCAAATTACTTCTCTTTTCCAACATAAGAATGTGAACCCTAGAATTTGTATTTTGTAAGAACTTGTAATCTTGTAGATTTGAACATCCTAGAGCATCCACCATGTCGACCTCTAAAATCAAGAGTTTCCTCTGATTTCTTTCAACTCTTCCTATGCATGGGCGCATAAAAAGTGAAGATCCGATGATTCTTTTTTTTTGTAATTTGCGAGCTATAGAAGATTTCTCGTTGGGCAGAAAGCAATTAAACGTCGACGATGTCTGGATGCCGCCGCTGGATGCCAGGAAATGCTCATTTAGCAGTGGGAGGCGGTCGCCAGTGGATGGAAGATGGGCTGGGCAACGGATGGGGGAAGTTCCCAAGTAATTGCCCTGGCGACGCGACACTAAATCAGTCCAAAGCAGACATTGGCTAATTGCAGACGTATCAACATCAGCGATAACAACTTGACACAGTTTGTAAATCTATCCATCCATAAGCTGACCACCCTGGCTCAAATTTCCAGCCACCATTCAATTTCCACGCGCTGACATATCGCTGTCACTTAGTTTCTGTTCCGGGCTCGAGCTAAAATCATGATCCGTCTGGATGTACGGATATACATATATGGCGCACGGCAATGCCAGCGGAAGTGTATCAATTGAAAATGGCGATGCGTTTGGTTTTGGATTTCATGAAATACGAGATGCCACATATGAACGAGCCAATGGGAGGAAGTTCTGAACTACATGCATACAGATGGAGGCGGATTGGGTAAATAGGATTCATTTGTGCACGCAAATTAATTTCTCTTTTTCGAAAAACAACGAAATCAAGTAGCTTTCAGTGGGACATTTCAGAGTTCTGAATTGGCCACCGAAATGTTTACACAATGTGAAGAATCATGTCTTTTGGCCAAAGCACTCTCGCTAATGGAAGCCATGGGTTAACAAAAGTGTTTCATCTCGAACAAAGTGACTTTTGTGGGGGTAGCGAAATGGATCAAAAGCCCACAGTTTATTTGGTCAGTCATTCATTGATCTTGAGCAAAAAGTGGAACAGGCCCACAAATACCACTCGAGATCGCTCAATGGCTGCGCACGCGCACTCCAGATCTTCAGGCCATTGGAACTTGGAAAATATTGTCAAGTGAAATTCGTTTGGGTCTGTGGCAGTTCGAATGCTTCAGGTGGATGGTTGGATGGTTGGATGGTTGGATGGCTGGATGGCTGGGAGAGGGTCCCTAGGTGAAGTCGGTGTTTGACAGTTACATTGAAGGCCCGCGATGGTATATGTTATGATGTGTGCTCTTGAGGCCGGGCTCAAGTATTTCCTAAGTCATGTTTATGAGTCTTAACATGCCATTCACTCAATCAGCAGCCAGAGAAGCAGAAGAAGTCATTCAATAAAAAGTGGGACAATTGCGACCATATCGGCAGCTCTTTTTTGTATTTGTTTTCTTGATTTTTGTCTTTCGGTTTTCGAAGATTTTCATGAGTTTGTGAAAGGCTTCTTGAGGGTGCCTGGCAGCCAGACAAACTGACTAACTGACTAACTGACTGACAGTCTGCAGGCGAATATTACGCCGGGCATTATGCAGAATTCGCCCGGTATTCGTTCTCTTTCTGGGCGCCCAGTCACAGTTTCGAGTCACTCACATGTGAATTGGGGAGCTGAGGAGCTTGGCGAGCTGGGGAACTGAGGGCAAAAGCACTGGCAAAGGCACAAGATTAAAGCGAAACCAAAGCGAAGCGTAACGTATCGCCATCGCCATCGGCCGAGCGACAAGCGCGACAAGGTAATGTTCCCACGAAACAGGTTGTCCGCACTTCAGGCCACGACTTTAGTGCTCTCGGGGAGGCGGGGGGCCGGGATTGGTGGAGACACAGAACAGGCAAGCCAGACGAAAGCCCCGAGCACCAAGCACCAAGCCGCAAGTCCCAACCCAAGACTAAGACCAAGCCAAGACCCAACCAAGACCAAGACCAAGACCCGGCTCTGACGCATGCCTGCTCCCCCGCCACAAACCACCGCGCCGCGCCGCATCCCAGCCACAGTTGAACCTGCCTAATGTAAACGGCGGCGCATGCGCATGCCGACGTCGACGTCGACGTCGACGCGAGCGGCGACTGCAAGTTCTGCTGCACTCGAAAAATAATTAAATTAATTTGCTGTTCAATTACAGAAATTCCTTCGATGTGAGCCCATAATTTAATGAGAAACTTAATTTAAAAGTGGGTATTAAACTGTAATTAAAAGTGAGCTTATGGTTCATTTATGTTCTTTAATGGCTTACATAAAAAAAAGGCTTAACTGGATTGATCAATCTCAAATAATATATAAGCAGAAATCTGTATTAGAAATTTGGATTTTGGATTGGCTTTGGCTTCCATTTAAATGAATATAACATTTGTGTGCAAGTGCTCTTTGGCCGCGATTCGCAGTCGTATTAGTTGGGACACCGATCTGGCCAAGGCGTGTAATTGTTAACCAAGTTAGCTTTGAACAGCACCAAAACAGCAGCAAACAACCGTCAGAACAACAGCGTACATAACAACCAAATAAAAAAGAGCAAAACTCTATTTCAATTCTGCGACTACACCCAGTCAGGTTACATTTTTACCTTAACCGAGTTAAAAGAACGTAGCAGGCCACGTTTATTTTATGTTTTATTTTCTCGGTCCGAGTGTTTTCTGTATGGGCTTCTTTTTACCATTTTATTCCTTCCCAGTTTGGCAGTCATAAGCCCGCATTATGCTCACTTAATTAACCGAAAGCCGCTTAGGAGGTGCCCGGCAAAGAAGTATAAAACATGAAACACAATTTTTAATTGCTTTTTTTCGGCTACCGCTGGCAGAATCTCCGCCGACCAAGATGACGACCCTTCCCTGGCTGGCTGGCCAAGGGACTTAACTTTGAAGTGAGTTGGTCGAGATGAGTAAGCCGCTTTGGTGCTAGCCTTGGCATTTTCACGCCCCATGATTCTGGTTCAGCCCACGCTGGAATTTTGGCCACAGGAAGTAGCGCAAAGAATCGACTCGCTGTGGAAACCCCACATAGACTATGCCCCTCCCGGTTTTTTTTTTTTTTTTTCTTGTTTCTGTGTTTTTCTGCTGCTTTTCATAAATACATATTCTTATCAATCCGGCACGAGCTCTGCTCTCGGCTTCGCACAGATCCATTCACATTTCTGTTGCCGGCTAGACCTTATCGCCCATGAAACGTACAGTTCAGCTTGGCTGCTCTCCAGGCGGAACCGAGCTATCTAAAGTCGAAAAACAATAACGAGTGCTGCCCACAAAGTGAGAGCTCGTGCCAAAAGCGTGCGTCTTAGTTGCAGAGGGGTAACATAGATATAATATAGTATAATACGAGTATATATGGGAACTGCACTTACCGTCCACCGAAACGTAAAGGGCAGCACAATGGCTCCCACACCCGGATCGCTGAGCACGAAGCTGGATCCACCCAGTATCTTGGTGGTGGCGTTGCCAAACGAACAGCCCGTGGATATGCTGGCACCCTGCTCCGTGGTCTGGTACTCCTTCAGGCACAGCCGGAATGCTGTCGTGCATGGCGAGCAGCCTGAAATTGAAATTCCAGCACGGGTTATCACACTTGCGAATATAATATAGGCTGTATACTATAGAAATGCAGACTTTGTTGCCTCCGAGATTGCATAATTGCCGGGCATCGTAAAAAGGGGGAATATATTAGTACAGAACCAGAAGTTTGCAGAGTGCAAATTCTGCTGATAGACCAAGAGCCTTGACCGTCTATTTCGGGGAAGCCAGATAAGAAATATCAGAGAGCTTAGGCATCCAGATGGAATCCAAAAGGAAATATCTGGCAACTCAAAATATAGCTTTATGTTAATATAGAAGCGTGATAAATTTAATAGGACAATTAAAAAGTTCGTTACTATTTCATAAGTTACAGCGAGTCGAAAGTAAGACTGCAGTTTTTACGAGGGTTTAACTTTCTTTGACAAGAAAATGCGATGAAAAGGCTTATATGCCACAGTTGGGGCTTTAATAAACTTGAAGATGGACTTACCTATCGTCTTGGTGGCCCTAAGTTCCGCTGGCATGCCGCAGCAATAGCCGTTGAGTAGATGGCTGTTGGTATTTGAGATTTCTAATATTTCCAGCTCGAAGTTACCAGCTGCGGATATCTGTGGTGGAGAACATAGGCAAAATTAACCAAAAACGCCAGTACAACGATCCCAAATCGATTCAAATCAATCACGACCCATAACGAAGCCCCCAAAAAAAAGTGAATCCCAATCGAATAGTACCCTCCCCTCTATGCCAATCCCTCCCCCTCCCCAGCTTACATTCCAAATCGAATAATATGCTCAACACTTTATGGATCTGATCCCAGCTCGTTCGCCCGTTGTAAAAGCTAATAAGCCACCTAGGGCGCTCTGATTGGGCTGCGGTAGAGGTTTTAATTAAAAACAAAAATAGATGGATCGATACAAGAGAGGAAAATCAGAAGACCGTAGCTCGTAAAAGTGGTAGGCAAATGAAAGGAGCCAGATAAATCTGGCAGCAAATGAAACACGAAAATAATGAGAAATATTTTCCCCACAGAGCGGCTTAACTGTTCGGCTTGGCTCACTTAATCAAACGAGATATCCAGCAGTTTGTATAATTTAGAATGCCTTTGTGCTCCAACTGGAATCCGTGGGCCCGAGTGGCCACAAATCACGGGCCCATCGATTGGAGCATTTGCCATAAAATTAATAACACATTAGATTGCCGCTCGCCGATCTCTCGCACTTGAACGCATCTGACAAATGGCACATAAAGTTTAACTATTCTTCGGCAAATCGCTTATCATAATTTAGCCAGGAGGAGAGCCTCCTGCATCTGGAAGCCGCATCTTGACCATCAACTTTGTATTTTAGGGTTCATTACCAGTCAGCGGATGGGTTCTGCTTCGCGGAAAATATGCTAATGAAAACTTGGGACTCCTGCTTTTATGGTTTCATATTTCAGTGAATTTATTGTCATGGTCTTTGGTAGCTGGCAGTGTTGATAAGTTTATTAGAAATAAATTGCAATTTAGCCGGGCCGCTTGGCTAACGGCATCCACCAGTTTCAAGTCACCTGCAGCTGCAGATGGAGTCTCAAAAAAATAAAGGCCGACAAAAACGAAACTTCAGCTCGAAGCCACATGCATTGTTGATCATGCCATAGATCAATCAAATGCAATCCCCGCCGATTCCCCCGACATTCTCCGCCAGTTTGTGTTCGGTTTCTCTTGGCGTTTTTTCGAGATTTCCTTTTGTTTGGGCCTCAAACTCAAAGACTCAACTGCAACTGGTTGCTCAAACTGATTGGGATTCTTGGCCGACCATGATCGAGAGATGCTATGTGGAACCGGTTCTGGCTGCTTACTATTTATTTATCACATTTCCTCGGGCCATGCTCCTCATTCATGAAGCAGGTGCATCCGCTAATATTCCGGACAAACTTTGACGTAATCAATTCGATTAGATAAACCACCAGAAATGCTTAAGGAATTAGTGCTGCGGCGCCACATGTAAACTGGGGGAAAATCGAAACGCTTAATGAAGCCGACACACGATGTTAATGTGAAATTAAATTTTAATTAAGCCTGCAGTTAGCAGGGAAGCAAAACGAATCTTGGCCCTAAAGCCAACTGTGCAGCTTGGCAACGTGGGAGCTCGCTTCGCCAACTCATTTCTGATTTTGGGCTTTTTATGCATATTTCGCAGTCAGTTTAATATGCAGCTTATGATCAATAAATGTCAGCTCAAATGAGAGAGATCTTCTGCGGCTTTTCGGACTTTTGGCATCCCAACTTGGCCGAGTAACTGGGTTAATTTCAACTGACATGGGGCCATGTGAACGGAGGCGATATGATCGCGGATTCGCTTGACCAGTTGACTGGCTGGATGGCTGTCTGGTTTTCCCTGGAAGTTGGTCATAAATCGCCGCTACAAAATATTTAACTTTTCTTTACTTCATTAACAACTAAATAGTTGCATTGGGACCGAGGTGGATCTTTGCTGCCGGCGACTTTTATCGCCTCGCTTACCCTAAATCAATGCAATCCCCTCATCCAAGTAGATAAATGTGTGTAATCAATTTGATTGCCCCACGGTCGGCCACATCCCGAACTGCTCTTCTGGGGACTGGGATTGGGATTGGTATTGGGACTGGGACTCGCCTGCTCCTCGGATTCTAATGTCTGCCTCTCGAGATCTCTGGCGTATTAATCAAATTGTTGTTAAGACCCCGCGCATCCCCACTCACCAAACTGCCTATAACTTTCCGACCAACGATTAATTTTTATGTATTTCTGAACCGTTGGCTGCCGTTGGCTCTCCAACTCTTTGCCTTTTTAATTGCCGCTCGGGGCATCTCCGCTGGCATCTCAATACATGTTTAGGCACTTTGTGTAACACTTTATGACGGCTACACCCCGAAAACCTCCTAGCTCCGGCGATTCTCGACTACCGTTGCCATGTGGGAACCATTTCGGAGAGATGGCTCTCGTAGATAGAACTGCCCACTAATCTGGCGGATCACCTTTCGTAGGAATCCTCCTCGATCCGATCCTACTAAGCCCAGAATTCCTAGTCAGAGGCTTTTTTAAAAACCAGCGAATGACTTTAATGGATAGATTGATGTAAGCTTGCGTTAACAACTTTATTTTTTAAAGGAAAAACTTTAAAACCCTTTATGTTGTGTTTTATGCCAAACATTACTCTCAGTATTTTCAATAGTATTCAATTATTTAAGGTTGTGAATGATTTCTGTTTGTTTATGGGTTCTACGAATCTTGTTTATTGGCATATGCATGATTTACTGCCCTGAGAAAATTTCAGCGTAAGAGCTCTCATTAAAGACAGCTCTTTTGGATGCGGAGTGGATAAATCGCTCAAAAATAAACCCAAAATCATCATTATTTACGTCCCCCATCAAAACTTTGCCCTCAGCTATTGCCAATTCACATGGGTTGAATCAACTTTGGCTGTTTTCTTTTGGCCTTTTGCCGAGACACTACACCCGCATGTATTTGGATCTGGGGCTTTTTCGATTATTGCTTTTGGGGGTGGGGGTTGGGGGTTCGATCGTTTTTTGCATGTTGGTTTGCTTACCTTATGGACTAACAGTATTAAAATTAAAGCAATTAAGTTGCAGGCAGACTTTAATGATCGACAATCGCGGACCGTCGATGGCAGGGTCGCGATTTTGGGTTCCCGATGCCTCGGACGCTGCCTTTTTGTCGCCGTCTTCTTGGACATTCCCAGGCTGTCTGGTGATTCTATTGTTGATTCCGCCGACGACGACGATGTTGGTTTTCGCCGAAAATGTTTCCTAAACATTTTGTACATTCTGGGGGCGTTTGCGAGCGTGATGCTGGTTGGCGATCTAGATGGAGTTTGTTTCGGATTCACTCTGGATTGGCACCACACAAATGTAAATTCGCTGGGCAGCCTTAATTAGCCCATGTATGCAGATTTTGGTGCCTTTGTTTGTTTCTAAGCTGCCACACACTACACTTGCTCTGGATAGCTGAATAACTGGTCGTACTCTGGATGCTGTATCATTTTCTCCACTTCGCCTTCGTTTTGTTTTCTTAATGTTGTTATCACACACAATTATTTATTATATTTATTATTTATATGGACCTTAGTATGTGCTTCTCTCGTTTTTGTTTTCTTCACACTTGACACTTCCACTTGATAGGCGATGATGTTTTGTAGATCTTTTGCTGTAACAATTGTCGAACGAAATGGAATTGAAACGGGCTGCGGAAAATCTATTTCACTGTGCATCATCAACGCTAATTGACACGCAGATGCTGCTGCAGTTGCAGTAGCGGCAGCCGCAGCCAGCCGCAGCAAGCCGCAACAAGTGCCACCAGCCACCGCAGCAACATTTACTTTTGCCAGACCGCAAAGAGCGGCAACGTGCAGCAAATGCAAATGCAATTCAATTTATGTTAATTTAACGCTGTTACTGCCGCTGCTGCTGCAGAAGCTGCTGCAGATGCTGCTGCAGTTGCTGCCGCGACTATGGAGCCGTGTCTTTGGCCACAAACAATTTGCATCTTGTGCGCATATTAATTTACAGATATTTTCACTCTTGCTCACATTACTCATTCTTCCCCCCTGCCCCTGCCATCCGGGCCATCCTATTATCCCATGGCCTTTAGCTCCCCAGCCCGCCCTGGTTCCTCCTGCTCGGGTGTTAATTGTCCATTTAATTAAGTAATTTGCTTGGGGCCTCCGCCCGGCTTTGGCACGGAACGGAAGTCGTTGACTTTGAATCGAAACCCAGATGCTGCCGCTCTTGCTCATGCTGCTGCTGCTGCTGCTGCTGCTGCTGATGTGGATGTGGATGCTGCTGCTGCAGGGCATGACCGGAAGTGGCTTTTGCAAGTGGATGATGCAGCTACCTCCCCTGAATACCCCTACTTTCACTCCGCACTCTTGGCAATTTGCAAAACGACAAAGTACTGGAGGCCTCAAAACTATATTATACCCTGTATCTATTTGCACGCATTCAAGTTCTAGTCATTTCTGGATACACTCTGATTTATCAAATAATTGTGCCAGCAGATCCGTATTGAACAAAACGATCTGAATAAGCTTTGGACCGTGCCAGATCCGTAATTCGTTGCATATGGTAAATCATTAAGCGGTGCTTGGTACATTTTCCGCGCTCTCTTGATCAGGGGCTTTCCCATGCTCGTACCACCCAGTCAGAACCTCACTGATTTCACAATCTCTCTTTTCTCCCTCTGCACGGAAGAAAACTACAGCTTTATCTTTACTTAAGACTCGCCAACTTCCAAAGTATCCACATCCATTTCCTTTAAGTTTTGAAAAAATAACAGTCTTTAAGATCGCTTTTCGAAAGTCTAATAATTTCAATAGGTTGGTTAGACATCCTACTTGAAAATTTCTAGTAAAAATTTCTCTATGTGCGCCCATTATTATTATTATTTGTATTATCTGCGTGCATTAAGAACTAGTCGGCTGTTTTCATTCTTTCTCTCTTTCACTGGGCATGTTTCAATTCCACTTCGTAGTAGCGTGTGTTTGTGTCCCTGTGCTCTGCCTGTGTGCGTTATCAATGGAGCACACTGTGGCCAGCGATTCCCCGGAATGGGGCACTCGTTTTCGCATATTCACATTGTTTGCACTTTTACTTTTCGCCTTTGATTAAACACAATTTTTACGGCATTGTATATTGATATATTAATGTATTGTATTTAATTGAAAGGTATTTCCGTTTTCCCTGGCTCACACGATCTGGGCTCAGGAATTAATCACACACTATGAAAACACACACAGCAAAATGTCGGCTGATTGTCGATCTTTCGATTTGCTTTTCTTCCACCGAGCATTTGCAGTTGATTGCTCTTCATCATTTGTTGTAATCAGCAAGCAATTTAATTCGATTGCGGCACATTAAACACTTTCACAATTGTTATATGGATGGTGGCTTTCAGTTTGGGTACACAATAATCCAATTCGAGGAGGGGTTTTACCGTTGACAGAAAAGGGGCTCATCACCGCTCGAAGCACGGCGCTCGACTAAACGCGTTAACCGAATCCTGCGGCATTTCCAGCCCTCGAGCAGCATCCATTCACGGGGCGGAGCAAGTCACGCGAGAGTGCTGCGGTTTTGGTGGTGGTAAAGGTGGTGATGGTGATAGTGCTGGTGGTGGTGGCGGTTAAGAGAACTGTGGCTCGGTCTGAACCACCGAAACCGCTTCAAACTGAGCTGGCGACGACTTCCGCTGAGTGCTGCGTGCGCTTCAGGCTTCGACTAACGACTGATTGCCTCTGGGCACAAGTTGCCGTCGATCCCGATCCGAGAGCTTAACTCGCAGCGTTTCTCTGTGTGCTTCTCTTTGGAGAAAACCAGTTTGCTCTTCGAGCAGTGCTCTTTAGCCAGCCGCTGATTGGTCGCACGACTGTATATAGCCCCGGGGTCCGGAATCTGAATCGGAATCGGCAGTTAATGGAGTTGCTGCCGCTTCGGCTGCTGCACGCATGCGCGCCCGAGGCTCCCGGCTGCCGTTTTTTACGATTCCAACTTAATTATGCCAATAAGTGCATTCTGGGGCTGTGTGTGTTTGTGTGCTCCAGATCTAGTAGCTCCAAGGGACTGGCAATTAACACCTAATATGCAGGAACGCTCCCACAATCTTCAACGGGCTGGGAACCAAATCGTATGATACTTGCCCAGCCAATTATTAAGCCCACAGACAGAGCGGCGACTTCCATCCAATTATCTGCTGGCCAAAAGTGTATAAATCAAATTTAAATGCAACTGGCCTATCAGCGCAGCCAAAACAAAAGACTTAAGCAACAAACTTGGCAATTACATGCGGCCAACAAGACAGGCGGCAGCATCTTTGTTGTTGTTGCCATACTGTTGTTGTTAGCGGCTCATATTTCTTGAGGCGCATATCTAAATATCGAATCATGTTGCTGATTTTCCATTGTCTGCCCACCATAGCAACAACAGCAGCAACAACAAGCACAACTGCTGCTGCCTCAACAACTGCAACAACACATAGTAAATCTCATTGTGCCGTTGTGACATGACTCTTGTTCGACAATAGATAAAACAAATTGACTTGGTGTGTGCCCAAAATGTCTTCTCTAGCCGTCTCCCTGGCCATTTGGGTCTCCATCCTCCTCTATTTGGTGGGCGTACCGGGCAGCGGTCTCCCAGCTCCTTTGTCATCTTTTCTCGCTTAAAAATGAAGAAAAAAAAGAAGAAATGGAAGAAAAACTGCACTACAATGCCCATTATCAGCTTACATATCTGCGACAAGAGACCCCAGAGCGGCAATTGTACGGGCCACCGAGACGGCAAAGGCAACTGCAAACGGCAACGGCATCGGCATCGGTTTCGTTGTCCAAATATGTTGCAAGTTGGTGTTATTCTTCACACGGCATCATAAATTTCACGTATAATTGACGCTTTCAGTTATATCAAAATTGGCTAAAAGGCGACGACCAGCTTTGCGTTGGTGGCCAGCAGATTACAGCCTTCAGCCTCCAGAGACTTCGAGCTGTTGTCCCCAGAGATACTTGTATTATTTTTGCTCACTGTGGCTTACATTGTTTTCGTTTTGATTTCAACTAATAGCAGACATCGACTTACAGGTGTCTTTGTGCGCGTCTCTCATAATTTGGGGGCACTCTGTGTTGGCGGTTTGTTGGACACTTGTTCGGGTTTAATGGCATTTCTTTGTTGGGATTAGCTTTCGTTTTCTGGCCAAGTGTTTTTGTTTTACTGCCACATGTAACAGCTGCAAAAGTGGACCAGAGCGGTGGCATAAATCCATAAAATCAAACATATTGAGTAATCAAAATGTTAAACCCACCCTCTCGACAAAGGCTCACCCCCTCAAACGAAAAACCCTCGTTGGGCAAGTTCATTAAACAAACAGGCAAATATGTTGGCAATTTCAACCAGTTGGTTTTACACCACTCAACATTTTATGACAGATTTTTCAAGTGTTTTTCCGCCTCCTCGTTTTTCTTTTTTATTTTTCACTCCTCCTGCTGCCGTTGTGGTGGCTGCTTGCGGTTAGGGCGTTTTGGTGGTTTAGTGGTTACCGCATTCTGGCCGCCCTTAGTACTGAGAATCATTGCCTTAGGTTAGTTGTTTATGAACGCTTTTATTGGCACAGTGCTGGGTCAAGAGATTTATGGGCAATATTTTTAGCGAGAAGTTACGGACACTTGAGAGAACACTCGGGTTAAAAGACTGGGAATTGGAACTGAGTTCGAAAGGGGCAGCAGTTTTCCCGAAAACCATTGCAGTATTTACTTTAAAGATCTGTGAGTATTAGCTAATAGCATTTTACACTGCTTAGCCAAATGGTGTAGAAACTACAAGTTCCATACGAAGAGGGGTCGCTGCATTTAACGAAAATAATCTGATCTTATTAATTTTAATGGTTATTGCAATGGGCAGCGTGTGCGAAATATTAGATAATATTATCTTGGCTAAATTAAATAGCATTATTAGATATGATAGACCTTTAGCTGAGTTACAAAAAATTTATTGAAATCAGGTTGTAAAGAAAACGAGATTATGATATAATAGTTGAATATCTGACACAATTCCTATCATAGATCTGGCTTAACTAGATACTATTTGCTTAACTTTTAAAAAATACTTCTGTGGCTTTATCCATAGGAGCTGAGAACACAGCCTTGTATCATTCGTCAGCTTAACGAACCTTCCACTCTGCAGTTGTGTAATGAACCGATTTTTTATGTTGCACCATACATCAATGTGACCACCTGACCTGACCCCGCAATTTGTACCACCTTGCCCGAAATCAAAATCAAGGCACTTGTGAACCTCACACATGTTCGCCCACAGAGGGGTAAAATGGTAGAGGTACGCCTCATTTAACCCAAAATCCACCCTTAGGCGCTGCCAAAACAAAATCCAATTGCAAAATCAGTAAGGCAAACAGACTGCGAACGCATCGCATTATCACACGAACAAAGGCGATTAATTAGCGGCATTGGGAGGGGGATGAAAAGATATGGAACAGATATAGAGATCGGAAATCGGGCAGGGTTGGTCTCGATTGCGCCGACGCAAGCGAGTAATCGAGATGGCTGCGCGTGCTCATGTCTTTCGCCAACATGTGCAACTGTTACCCAGCGAATGCGACTCAGATTGCGACCGCGATGACAGCGAAGGGGTTAAGGGAAGGATGAGCGGCTTGCGGCGAGGAGTACTCATATCGAGCCCATACTTTAACCCATACACGTGCATATGTCATTTTTATAGCGCTATACGTGTTTGCCATAAATCCATAACAATATGACAAGTACAAGTACTTTAGCGGCAGCCTCTCTCATGTGCAACATGTTTGCACGTTCACGCCACCGCCAGTAGACAGTAGACCAGCACCAGGTATACCCAGGCACATCCAGTGTGGCGGAGTGCAGATGCAGAGACGCCCTGGACCGACTGGAACTCCATCTCCATCGCCAGCTCCGAATGGGACACCTTGCCTTCCATTTGGCGATTGCGATCGCACTGCGGTCAGGATGATCTCCATGCCGTGCTCCTCATTTGTGCTTCGGCTGCTATGTTACTTGCACTGCAGCATCATCACACTGGAAACAATTTGTGTCATTGCAACATGGTTTTTAGCTTATATTATATATGCCTTTGAAATAAAGTACTAAGAAAAAACATTGTTATAAAAAAGAGTACATAAATTCTAATGGCGTATATTATTTTTTTAAATTATATTACAGTGTCATTAAAATATGAAATGTGTGTGTTCATTTTTTATCGAGGCTCAAAAACATTTTTAGGTCCTGTTGAGCAGCAGTATTTAACCTTATAATTTATTAGGGTAATGTTGGAAATTATGTAAATTTTTTTATGAGTGCTGGGTAAATATTTCGCGCTACTCGCCACCGCCTGACATGATTTACATGAAGTGAAGACGCACGTTTTTATTACATTTTCGTGGCTGTAAGTGCACCCAAGGCAGTCCGGCCACCTAAACCACCACCTCCTAAGCACCCAGGCACCACCACCACCACCACCTCGTCATCAGCGGTTTGCCTTTGATTTGCGGCAAATGTTACGCACTGGCATCGCATCGCAACGCATTGAGGAAGTGGAAACCAACAGCTGTGCAAGTGGAGGGTTAAGTGCGCGAATCATTTATCATTTTTGCTGTTACAATTTTCAAGTGTGCACCGCCCTAGCTAGCCAACTTGCTCGCAATTAAACAAACAATAACCTTTCGGAAACCGAAACCGAAATCAAAATCAGAACCAAAAACCGAGGAAGATCGGCTCATCTCCGGGGTTGGACACTTGTCACTGTCCGGATAAATGTCGCCCTTCTCGTTCGCAGCTTAAGTCGACGTTTTAATTTTAGTTTCCCGCCTGGGTGAACTTGTATTTTTCGGTTTCTGGAAAATTGAATACTTTATTCATTGGAAGATCGTAATCCTCAAATGAGATTGCTTTAGAGTAATCGCTTCATTTATGGAGGATTTTCGTTCTTATTAAGCTTCATTAGGCTTAAATCAATTCGGTTAGGAGGAGATGTATATATGGAGCTGCTCATTTGGGGCCGAAACTTATGTTTACATAGGAAAGACATTTGTTACCTAGGTGGTCCCTTGAGGGTTCTCCTCTTTCACCTCGTTCCCAGACCCATGTAGCCACTGAGAAATTTCAACTAATTAAAATACCTATAAACTCTGCATGTTGAGTCCTGTTCTGCGGCAGCATTTCCAGCATTTCGTTGGAAATTTTCAAACAGAATCGTCGGGATAAGCAACACGCCAACCCAACAAATGACCAGCCGAAACCGAAGACTGAAAACTGAAAACCGAAAATCGACAAACCCAAAACCAGGCCCTTCGAACCGGCCAAAGATGAATGGTTGGACCTCGGCAGGGTTGCCCAGAGCCCCCCATTCCCCGATTGCCCGACTCCCTGATACCCCCATACCCCATATGCCAACTGACAGCAAACAGAAATCGACAGCCGTGCGGTGTTTACTACTCCAACAAGATCCCTAAAAAAATAACACAAAGTAAAAACAAAAACCGGGCAGAAAAAAATCGAAATTCACTTCTGATCGCATTGGGAATGGAAGCTGGCCATCAGCCGCAGCTCCACTCAGTCCCAGTCGAAATGGACAGCTGAAAAGGAGGCTGGAATTCCGGCCCGACTCGCGGATGGCTTAAAACTTTTAGCATTTTTAATTAGCGCGTTCTTTGTTTTCGTTTCGTTTCGTTTCGTTTCGTTCGTGCTGGCCGTCGAACAAAATGAG